AAGGCAGAGTCTGTATCTGAAAAGAACTAATATTTGTTTAAGGTTGATGAAGAACAAAAAGCCTATTACCAATGGAAATAGGTTTAGATGGCTAACTTCTCCCTGCTTTTTTCCCCACAATCTTGTTTGAGATAAGCCAATAATTTTTATTGCTAGTAATTATACCCAAGATGGTTTCACCTCCCTTACTTGGTCAGCCAGGAGAAAACCTACCAGTTTTATCAACACTAGAGAAAAAGAACTGCCTATGGTAAAATGCCAAATCAATGGCAGTCTATGTTAGGGGAAGAGAGATGGCAAGGCACTTGGCTGGCCAGAAGTGTACATGATCAGGTTCCCCGAGGTAACTGGACTGAGGCTGACCTACTGATAATACCCTGTTCCCCCACCCCTCCCATTAAGATGGTTAATACTATACTTCCTCTACTCTGGGAGCTAAAACAGAAAAACAAAAAAGGAAATAGCAACAACAGACATACATTTCTTACCTAAAATACTGCCTAATTTGAGTTTTAAATATTGCTCAAAAAATATTTACAATCTGATGCAGAATTTGTTTTTAAAATGATAGAATAAAGTTAAAATATCAAAATAGGGAGTTTAAGAATAAAGTCACTTATACGTAGTGATGACAGTGGTCTCACACAATAGGACCTACATGTTTAACTTGCAAAACTGATGTCATGCTGTGGCATCAGCTGGTAAGGAACTGCTATTGCTTTCCCACTCCACTGGTCACATTACTAGCAGACTTCTGTCCTTACAGATTATGCTGTAGAATGAAGGGGATGGCTTTTGATGCTGACATTTTGATCATTTAATGGCTCACATGAATCTGACTTTACTTACATTTAGTTTCCTTTTAAGTAAAGAAAGCAGCTTGCCAACTTGTTCATCCAATTGCTCTAAATAATCTCTTTCCAGGAATCAAGTGATTCAAGAGGCAGGGACTGTTGCTTCTTCATTTCACTGTCTAAAGGAACCATATGTTACCATTCTTATTCAGAGGGGAACACTCCTGAGGATCTTGATTAAATGCAACTCATGTCACCAACGGTATTTTTAGGACCTACCTACTATGGAGCTCAAAAGTAAAGATGGAAATAAGCCTATCTATAAACAAGTAATGAAACTGAAAGATAACAAAATATATGTCCATGCTCTATAATACATATGAATTTGAAAACTGCCCCTAAGAAGTGACTGCTAACTAGAGTAATCTAGCCCTGAATCTGACTCATCACAAACAGGTCAGCATCAGAAATCACAGGCTCACTCAACTGGCAGAAGTATGTGTTTGGATATGGATGTTATTTTCAGTGATCAAGTCTGAATACTTTGATTCTCAGCAGGTTTTTTTTTGCAGAAATTGTAGAGAAATCCACCTAGGTAATTCCGAGAAGACAATGTGAATCAGAACCATTGTTAATGATGCTGTTATCTGGGAGGAGAGACATGTACTTGTTTGGGGTTCATTTCCCATGGTCCAAGACACATGGGTCCTGGTAAAAAACTGTGGACACAAGGTACAGAGCTTCACAACAAATAAAAAGGCAGGGATGGGCCAGTAAGTTATTTTAAGGTATCTTTAAATATAAATTGAACCCCAGAGGCAGAAAAGTCATCTACCCAACACCGGCACATTTTAAACACGATTAGGACTTGTAGGTCAAAATCCCGTAACAAAAAAGGGAAGTTTTTGGTTGTTTCCAAAATCAGGAAAGCATATTAAACAGAATCTTGTGACTTAAACTTCACTCAAGTGAGCTTAAAACTGGCATAATTTTGATACCAAAAGTAAGCTGAATAACCAATACAAAAAACAGAACTAACTGGAATTTTTCGCCCCCAAAACATAATCCCAAATCCAAAACAACTTATATAAGAGATGCAAGTAACAGAAAAAGTCAAATAAAACAACAGTGGTTCCTGAATTTAAAGGAAGGATGCCCACTTCTCTCTCTCTCAAGAGGCAGATGGTCAGCTGAAAAATAAAAACATTGTATCAATAGAACACTCCAAAGAAAAAAAATTGCAGCCATCTCTGTTCATGCAATATCGTTTTGGTTTTTTTTGTTTTTTGGTTTTTTTTAAAAAAAAACCCCAAACACCAAAACAACCCATAAAACTAATAAAAGGAAAGAAATTGTTGTTCAGATCTTATGACCTGATGGTTGAGAATCCTGATCAGGCTGTTCAAAATGTGGCTCATGGGACAGAAAGGACAGGAGATACCATGAGATCACGTTTGTGGGCCCTGGACGTGGTGGCCCCCTCAGGTTAGGGTACACGCTGTCTTCAGTCCATCAGTTCTTGGATCAGCAGCTTCAAGAACATGATAGTTCTAAGCAAGGGGATCCCAGCACAAGACCTTGGGTCTTGGCCCACGTTTTCTGTTTCGCTCAATTTCCTTTTTCCTTTTTAATTAGTATTATTGAATATGACTATTTTTTTGGTAGTGGTAAGTCACTTCAGTATCCACTATGGGCAGACATTGACAAATACAAACAGCAGTGCAATATTTGACCCAGACTTTAAAAGAACAGGAGGCGATGGTGGAAATGAGGTAACTCTTCCCCAACACGTGTGAACAGACAGCTCCTGCTCTTCTAATGCTCTATGTCCATTAGGAGAGAGTAGGGCTTGTCAACAGGATGGTTACATAAAGAAGAAGCTACAGAAGAGAAAAAAGAAAGGTTCAGATTCAAATTTGATTCTTAATGGCTTAAGAAAAAAAGGAGCTTCTCTACAACAAGCTGTGAAAGAACAGCAGTGTGTCAGTTAACAGGGTGACTTCCTTGAGCTCCACGGGAGGGTGAGCAGCAGCAGGGAAGAGGAGGCCAGTGAAGAAGATGATGCCTCAGCTGGGCACCAAGGCACATGAATTGGCAGGGTGGACAGGGACAGGTATGGGGGAAAAAAAGTGATAACATGATATGTGAAGTACAGGACACCACATGGCAAGTATCTTTGAGAAACTGGTGTAACCCAGACAGCAGCCATTTGAAGTCCACCACACAAGGCAGGAAAGCATGAGACTCTTATCCTTGTTTCTTTTATCCAGTAAGCACGTGTGCATATGCAAACCAAGCAGCGACTAAAAAGAACTCACAAAAAAGGGCACACAAACAATGTTTGGGTAAAAATATATTTTCCCCCGCTTTATGTCTTGGCACTAGTGATATATGCATAGATTACCTGTTCACCACTCTCCTACCTTAACAGATGCCAAATTACCAAGCATGTTGCTAAGTGATTACTTTCATATTTGAAAAAATGATATGCTTCACATCAATACAATTACTTTAGTTTTTAAAAAAAGACAAATGTCTAACATGCAGCTTACACATATGACAATTCTGCATTAACACTGAAAGTAGATTACACAACAGTTTTAGAAAACACATTGGTTATTTTCAAACAGCAAAATGACAAGGATCTACAACTACAGTTTAAGGCATATCAGCATATTTTAAAATTAAGAAATAGACAAAGTTCTACTGCTGTTCACAGCTTTTCAATTTATTTAAAAAATTCCCTTCATACCTACATACAAACTAGACTTTGTAGGTCTTAATTCCAACTAACGAATGTGTCCTGTCAGTGGAACCAGGACTTTTCAAAGCTCAGACTTGACAATTCCAGACACTTGCAAATGGCAAAGCAAAGGGGTGGGAATGGACAGTTTTTGCAGGACCACACAGAGACAGTAGGACGTGGGTCGGTAACAGCTGAAAAACCTCACTCAATAGTTTGTATGTGAAACAGTCATGGAAATGTCAAGAAAGCAAGGAAACCAAGTCTGTTCATTTGAGGTGCACAAGATGTGGAGAGTGTGTGTTACTGCTGGTGAGTCACAAAGCAGAGAAGGAAGATAAGTAATCTGTGCCCACTGTTACATTAAATAATTCCCATTGTTGAAATGCCCTTTAAAAGGAGAAAACCTTAACCAATTTATAAAGAGCCTAAGTTGGGAAAACACAGTCTGAACTGCCCATAAATTCTCATCAATGCTTCTCCATCACATTCTACAGTACATGTGTTATGGAGATCTAAAGTTCAGAAGAAGCAAAAAGATGGCCATTATGTTTTAACAAAAGATGTGAGGGAAGGCCAGCTAGTTATGTAGGCCCCTCACCCCCCAAAAAAGAGGTGGCCACTGTCAGCAGTTAGCACCAGGGAGAGACCACTGGACTAAGATAAAAAAATTAAGTGGTCATAAAGGCATCCTAGCATAAAATTTTTTCTCTTGGTTTTCTCTAGTAGAAGATAGTAATTTCTCATTCTGGATTTACTTGCCTTGCCGGAATCAAGGGCCCTCTGAACTATCCAATGATGCCCATGAGGCTATGTAGAGCACAGGCAGGGATTAATAATTTCTTTTTTTTTTTCTTTGGAGAGTCTCACTCCATCACCCAGGTTGGAATGCAGTGGCGCAGTCTTGGCTCACTGCAACCTCCATCTCCCAAGTTCAAGCAATTCTCCTGCCTTAGCCTCCCAGGTAGCTGGGACTACAGGCACGCGCCACCATGCCTGGCTATATTTTTGTATTTTTTGTAGAGACGGGGTTTCACTATGTTGGCCAGGATGGTCTTGATCTCCTGACCTCGTGATCTGCCTGCCTCGGCCTCTCAAAGTGCTGGGATTACAGGCCTCAAGTGATCTGCCCACCTCAGCCTCTCAAAGTGCTGAGATTACAGGTATGAGCCACCACAACTGGCCTGGATTGGTAATTTCGGATTTCCAAATTCAGGTCAAGAAGTGGAATTTATTATGTGGTTCTTGTGAAAAAAAATATAAATGTGGCCTTTTATATATATTTAGGTTTTTTTTAAACAAAACAAAAACAAAGGCTACTCAAACCATTACCTTCCTGCCCCCCCTGAAAAGAAAAAAAAATCCATCCATCCCACTTGCTTTCTCTAATTTTGAAAAGTCAGAAAGATCTCAAAGGTTTCTTACTACTGTACTTACATGCAAAGGCGAAAGCACATCCAATTAGATTTGAGGGTATCATTTATTCCGTGCAGAGCCAAGGACTACTGTGAAAAAAGGCATAGATACAGAAAGAAAAAAGAAGAGCAGCAATAACAAACTAAACAGGGCCGGGGAGCAGTGGCAGAAAAAAGTTCAGAAGCAATACATTAAAAAAAAAAAAAAAAAAAGCTTCTATTTGTTTCTTTTGACTTTTTATTCTCTGACTCGCCATATGATTTATTTTGCTGGGAAAATTTTAATGCAAAAAAGTCAATCCAACCAACAATCTTGGAATCAAAAAGTCAGCTGGTTGCCTTTCGCTGTTATGCTTATTTAAAAAAAATTTTAGTGATGCAAGAAACAATTTAAAAGTGTACTTTCTGTACGAGCCACAAAAATGCTCACACAAGCAGTGGTTGGAACAAGCATACAACACAAATATTCAAGCTTTTTCTGATGCACAGCCTATGAGCAAATTCAGCCCATGGTTTGAATCAACATGCCAGCTACTATTCGGCTGCTCCACAGTTAGCTCCAGACTAGAATTATTTAAAAAAAAACAGAAGCAAAAACAAGGATGTTGGTCCAGTAGCTCCTAAACGTGTGAAGACTATGACTGCTGCTGTGCCTAGTGTGTAGCTTCTATTCCAGCTTTGTTTAGGCTTCCACGAAACTAATTTCCTTACTTTGCTTAATTAAGCATAATCAGTTCATGGAAGACCATTCCTTCTTTCCTCTAAGTATGGCTGAGGACAAAGAGAAGGAGAAAAAGTCTTTGCTGAAATCAAAATAGAGACTTGTTCATTTTAAAAAGAAAGTGTGTGTCAGGGGAGATGCAGCATATTCTATCCTATTTACTTAATCTCTAACCAGTGAGGAAAATGTGGAGGGGAAGTGGGTTCATGAGCAATGTTATCCTTTCTACATGTAGAGAGAAAGCTGGGAGGATCTTGTTAGTAGAGGGGAAAAAAACAATCACACAGATGAAAAGATAAGCATCAGAAAGGAACAGTATAGAAAAGAGATGAAATATGCACTTTTCCATACAAATTAGGCATGCAGGATAGGTTCTGGCGTGTGGGTCCGCTCCAATCCTTGATGAGACAAGGGCCTTAGACAAAGAGCAGGTGGAGCTAGCCAAGGTGAGGAATACTCCAGACAATGATTTGAGACTTCAGTTGTTCTATTTCTTCTCTCTTTTATTGCCAAATACTGAAAGGAGACTAAGCAAGGAAGCTGAATAGGAAATGTCTACCTTCTTCACTTATGGGTCATGTTGTGGTCCTTCCTATTTCCACCTTAAAGTTGACAAGGTCTCCCTCAAATTCATGCTACCAATGATACAGAGTTTATAGCAAATTTTCTAAGGGAAGTATCTGTGGAAATTTTCTCATGATTAGGGAAAAATTTTATTAGAAGTACAAGTATCCTGGAATCAGTCATCAGGGCCTCCCTCTAAGCCCACTGGGAACAAACTGTGTGTTTCATAAACTGTGTGTTTATGAAAGATTCCTTACTGTTAGTGGTAAGCAGGTTGTAGAAAGCCCATCATCCTTAGTAGAAGGTTCTTCTACTAACCAATGTTGTATGATTCAACCTTTAAGACGTCTATCTGTGAGAGGATCAAGGATGCACCAGTAAATGTGAACATAATCATAGTTTTCTCAGGCCTGTCTACTCTACTCCAACTTGGCCAGGATTTGAAGGCAGGCATTCAGATGCGGTTTCAAACCATGAGAGGAGACAGTCTGAACAGACCCACAAGCTCAGGCCAAATAATGTTACTGATGAAAATGAAAATGTCATGCAAGTGTAAAAATAAAATATAATGCTTGCTCACCCGTCTGTCTACATACAAATCTACCTTGGCTTGGGACAAGTGTGGAGAAAAGACAGTGAGTTCAGGGATTGTGCACTCATGGAGATGAATCATCAAGAAAATGCAAACTCTTTTCATGGCTATTCAGGTTTTTAGTTCAGCTGCTGAGGCGGTGAGAAGTTTTCATGTCAGACGTACAGGTAGCATTTTACCCCACTTTCCTCTGTCCAAAGCGACATACAAGTAACAGGCCTGCTTCGTGCTGCCATTCAGAACAGGCAAAAAAAGCAAATCATTTACTTTCCGGAAACAGAGTCCAGCTGCACAGAGCATTTGCGGTTATTCCCTTGTTCTATCATTTTCTACCACCCAACAACATTCAGCAAACGAGTTAATAATAGTTACTGGTGTTTGAAGAAGGGTAAAAAAAATAAAAATAAAAATAAAAATAAAGAACACACATGGCAGAGATACGATATTACTGCAAAAGCAGGTGAATGCGGGAACATCCTTGGCTTGCCAGGCTTTATGTGAAGCTTGCACTGCAAGTTAAAAAACAAAACAAAAAAGTTAGAAATAATAATAAATTAAAAAGAAAGGAAAATTAGGAGCGACAGCACCAGCATTCAGCGATGGTGAATGCTCATGCAATGATTATGGAATTGACAGAAATTAAAACCAAAAATTTGAGAAGGCTACTCTACATGACAAGCAAAAGCAAAATTTAATACTGAATTAAAGACATACGGTTAGTTTCCATTTGTATGTAATTTAGAATTCACAAGTGACTTCTTGAAACCACTGCATGTCTAGTGGGAGGATTTACTGTTTAGCTTTTGTTTTCTCAAATAACACAAAACCATTATCTATTAGGTTTGGGTGTCCCATTAGTACTGAATAGGAGCTTCGTCTTCCACTTCTGAGCTGCTGAAGGCGTCAGAGAATAAATATACAATAAATGCCTTTGTACAATTGACTTGAAGAAAAGGTCTAACGCAGTTTAGGGATTGAAATTACATAGTGAATGGAGGACATGCTATTAATCTAGTTGGGTAGGGGGAAAAAAGACAATCACTGTAATGGTTACAGATACAGCAATGCCAGGAGCTTTCCCCCTCTTCTAGGTACAAAGCAATGCCAAACCCACGGCCCATGTGTCTAATTTTAGGCAAGTGCAAAACATGCAACTTTATTCCTTAGCAAGAATCAAAACAGTTTTTTTTTTAAAAGATGAGTGGATGGTTGGGTAAACAAGTATGGTTTTAGAATGATGAATTTTAAAACTGTCTTTTGGGATAGATGCAGCTTAACCAGCAAATGGCTGCTGGCAATTGTGCAGACAGTTTTCAGAAAAGGGAAACACTGTCCACTGACCAACTTACCCCCGCGCAGTCCCACCACTGTGGTACAGCCGCAAACAAGGAAAGTGACTTGGTGGCCAGAGATGGCAGAAGGTGGGGCCAGCTAATGGCAGTGCCAGAGTTAGTTCTACTTTGCCTGTCATCTTAGGAAATGTTATACACTCTCATGCCACTACAGGTCAAGGAGAAGTATAAAGCCTTACCTACATTAAAAAAGGAGCGTGTCATTAGAATAGAAAAAAGAGAATTTAAAACTATTAGAAAAACTAAGTTAGGCTTTGAGGTGGAAACACAGCAGGTAAATAAGTAAGCATCTGCCTTTTCGTTTTCTACCTACAACAAAGCCAGCTCCTAACGGTAACTCCTACATCTGCTCCAGCTATGCCAGGAGGCATCTTCCCAGCTCTTTTCAGAGTGCTGCTCTATCCAGCCTGGCCACTGTCTTTCTGCGGTCCCTCTAACCAACGCAGTCCACTGCCTCTGGCAGTAAAAGGTGTGAGTTTTGTTTGTTTGTTTTTTTTTACTTTGACACTTCAGGCCTCCACTGGCAGTTGCTTTCACTGTACAAATGCAAAGTGTGGAAAAGGGTAAGGACCTAGAAAAAGTTACACAAACAATATGTGCCATTGTCAGGAGCAAAACCTGGTTACTACTCTGAACCAAATTGAGTATAACATCCTTCAAAATAAATGAGAATACATAAATAAGCTAAAATAGAATCCACACAGGCTTCACAGAAACTTTGAAAGCATTACACATTGGTAAGGATAGGAAGAAAATAACCTAACATGTCCAAAAGGGCAAGGAAAAACCTCCCTACACTGGGAAGTTTGTTACTAAATAAACTTTTTTAAAATGGAGGCACAATAATGATCAGTTCTTGGAATTTTTATTGCTTAAAGGCACGTCTAGTATACACGAAATACTCTTTTAACATTGCTGGTCTTTTAGAAACATTCTTAAGTTTTAAAACTCAAACCTTTATGCACTGAGTGCTTCAGGGTGAAAAGACAAACTTGACTTTGGGTTTCCTAAGCTGTAAGTCAGCAGCTTTTTGTCTCATTCATACCTATAGATGTATGTGTACGTACACACACACACACACACACACACACACACACACACACCCCTATATCCTTGGTTGGTCTGGATTAACAAAGGTACAATGCCAAATGGCTTTCATCTGTCTTCACTGGAAGAGTCACTGTAATCTCTGAGTCTCTGCATGGGGAACATCACCATGAGTGTTAGAGGCTCTCCCAACACACATAGCTACAAAGGGTTTTCTTAAACTAGATTATAATCTATGTGGTTGTTACTCTCAGAATTAATCCAGCATAACTAAATTTTGGGCCTTGAACTCCTTTGGTCACTTGGATCTGTGCCAACTCCAAATAAAATCACAACCACTTCTACTATTGTTCAGAACGTTTGCCTCCTCCCTTGCTCTGGTGATACATTTTCTGCTGTCTCAGAGCTCAGAATGTCAAAGTTGGTAAAGCATGATTTAAAACTCTCTCAGTATGTCATTGTAGCAGTCCATTTTTATTTTTACTGCAGGCAACATGAGATTTCTTAGGGGTGAGCCTACTGCACATTCATCAAGACTAAGTGGACAACAGCACTGTGCTCACTCTTCCCTATAACACATCTCAGTTACTGTGCAGAGACTTGATCCTGTGTACTCTATGTTTAAAGAATGTAATTCTTTATGTGCTTGAGTATCAATGTTTTTGTTTACTTATGGTCAGCTTTTTCCCTAGAACCTCGGCATGTAAGGGGAAAGAGCAAGACTTCCTGAAACAAGTTCTGAGTTGCTTTAAATAGCTGCCCTAAAAGCACCGCACATTAGACAAAGGAGGGCGGCATCTGCATATCTGCCACTGAGATACCACAAAGGTTTTCCTTAGTGGTATTCTTACCATACTGCTTCCTGTCAAAACCGATAGTTAGTAACGTAACACTAGGCTTAATGTGATTCAAAGGACAGCTTCAAATCACAGGAGAATGTCAAGGCAGGGCTAAATCTCCCACTGGTTTCAGGCAGCTGCTACTGGAGTATCATAGGAAGTAACCAACTCAAGAGCAGAATCTGACCTTTTGGCACATGACATTAAGACCCTATTTAAAAAACCTTTTATGAGTGGGTTTAGGTTTGGCTTGAGGGTTGGCAGAGGTGTCAACTGGATAGGCATTTGGATCCCATTTCACAATAAAACAATTCATCATACTGAATTTAGAGGAAACTAGTGACCACTAGCAGCTCTTCCAAATGTTTCATTTTGGGAACGAGACTTTCAGTGACTGGCTTACGAAGTCTTACAACACAGAATAGGAAAATAATTTTAACAACTGTGATTTTAAGATGCTCTCTATCAAGAGTCATGAGAATTGTCTTCAGAGGGTGCTGAAGAGACATCAACCTGACTTCTTCGAGACTCCTAGTGTTGGTGTGGAAGATGCTACTGGAGACAACAGGTTCCTCCAGGCCTGATTGCTCGGTCAATGTGGTCAAGTTTTATAAATTAATCTTTGTGTACCTTTTAAAAATATTTTAAAAACCTTCATCATCTTCCCTGCACTGTAGAGAAAATACTTGCTTTTATCTTTCTGGTAAAAGACCAGTTTCCAGTCTGTAAATGGGAAAAGTAGAGACATGCAAGAGGAATAAACTGTTAGAGGTCCCCAATACATGGGGGTGACACCTGCTTACTTTTTCTTATCCTTGTCTTTCTTGGTTTGCTGGGCCCCAGATTGCTGGGCCTGGGACTGTAGCAACTGAGCCGCTGCTTTCTTCTTCTGGAAGTTGTTCACCTCCTCCTCAAGCTCCTTCTTCTTGTCTTCCACTTTCTTCTTTTCTTCTTGGTGTGTCCGCTTGAGAAGGTCAAACTTCTCATGAAGCTGGAGAGAAAAAGAAGACAGGCTTGGTGAACGGAATGAAAATCCATTTGATGTAAAGTTCTTTGGATCTGTTCAAAAAACAAAACATGGCCAGGCGCGGTGGCTCACGCCTGTTATCCCAGCACTTTGGGAGGCTGAGGCGGGTGGATCACGAGGTCAGGAGTTCAAGACCAGCCTGGCCAAGATGGTGAAACCCCATCTCTACTGAAAATACAAAAATTAGCCAGGCGTGGTGACGGGTGCCTATAATCCCTGCTACTCAGGAGGCCGAGGCAGAGAATTGCTTGAACCCGGGAGGCGGAGGTTGCAGTGAGCTGAGATCGCACCACTGCTCTCCAGCCTGGGTGACAGAATGAGACTCCATCTTAAAAAAAAGAATACAAACAAACAAACATGTGTCATGTGGCTGCACTGGCTTTAATTACAGGTGTAAAGTACCGTTTTGTTGACTTCCTGGAGGAGCTGGGCTGGGAGGCTGAAGAACATCCCTCAGAGACCCAGACTCCTGTGACACTTGAACTCCTTGGACTAAAGATTCCTTCACTCTGTTGCCCAGGCTGGAGAGCAGTGACTCAATGTCAGCTCATTGCAACCTCTGTCTCCCGGGTTCAAGCAATTCTCCTGCTTCTGCCTTCCAAGTAGCTGGGATTATGGGCATGCGCCACCACGCCCAGCTAATTTTTGTATCTTTAGTAGAGACGGGGTTTCACCATATTGGCCAGGCTGGTTGCAAACTCCTAACCTCGTGATCCTCCCGCCTTGGCATCCCAAGGTGCTGGGATTACAGGTGTGAACCACCGCACCTAGCCAAAATTAATTATGATCCTAACAAAAAAACTCACCCCAGTGGTAAAATTGGCTCTTTACCTCTGGTCCTTTTTCAAAATGTATAAAAAACATTTACTTAGAGATATATACAATGACTACATATGTATGTGTGTGTGTATATATATACATATGTATATACGTGCGTGCGTGTGTGTACATATCTATATAAGCATTACGAATTAGCTACTTAAATAATGTGTTGGGAAATTTCTGGCCCTTGAGGGAAGGAAAGGGAAGAAGAAAAGGAAAGGAAGAAGAAAGGAAATGAAAAAGAAAAGGAAAGGAAGGAACTCCAGATAATCTTAGATTTTTTACCCAGCATCCCCTTGGTTCTTGAAGCCAACAGCAAATAAGGCTGAACTTTCTCTGCAGCAAAACCATCTTGAGTGCTTAGCTATTTAAATAGCCTCTAAGTTTCAGTAGTTTTTAGACAAAATAAATTAAAACAAGAAAATGAGGAAATTTAGATGATTTCACTTAGAAACGTATAGATATATAGTTCAAACACTTCAGATACTCATTATTGACCAGCAGAAATAGACATTATGCACACAAGCGTATATACACACATACATACACACACACACACTCAAATACAATGGGATGAGTGTTATAGTACAAATCTATGTTAACTTCTAGGAAGCAGTTAATCTGGCCAGGGGAGGGAACTGAGGTAAGACTGAAGCAGGGAGTGCGAGCCCCATGAGGGCAGAAGCACGGGTGCAGACTTTGTGTCAGAGCATGTCCCCCAGACACTGCCAAAGTCTAGAAGAGTTGGCTGATAGACTAAGATGATAATAATAGTCCCAGAATCCCAAATCTCATGTTTTAAGACTTGTAAATTGAAGAAATACAGAGCTACACAGGCCATATGATCAGATCTGGAGACCTAAGATCTAGTTTTAGTCTCGATTTTGCTAACTAGGTATGTGACTACAAAACATTTTTTTTTAAATTTTTATTATTTTTTATTATTATTATACTTTAAGTTCTAGGGTACATGTGCATAACGTGCAGGTTTGTTACATATGCATACTTGTGCCATGTTGGTGTGCTGCACCCATCAACTCGTCAGCACCCCAAAAATAGTTTTAACTTTTATAACCTGTTTGTCATCTGTAAGGTGGGAATGAGAATATCTGACCCATTTTTCTGGCCAGGTTGGTAGGTCACTTGTGACAAAATGCATGTAGAAAGTACTTGGACCGGCTGGGCACGGTGACTCAAGCCTGTAATCCCAGCACTTTGGGAGGCCGAGACAGGCGGATCACGAGGTCAGGAGATCAAGACCATCCTGGCTAACACGGTGAAACCCCGTCTCTACTAAAAAATACAAAAAACTAGCCGGGCGAGGTGGTGGGCATCTGTGGTCCCAGCTACTCCAGAGGCTGAGGCAGGAGAATGGCGTAAACCCGGGAGGCGGAGCTTGCAGTGAGCTGAGATCCGGCCACTGCCCTCCAGCCTGGGAGACAGAGCGAGACTCCGTCTCAAAAAAAAAAAAAGAAAGTACTTGGACCATCATGAAATCCTCTAAAGTGTGAAGTACTAAGAAAATCTCCCTCTTACAAATCTTTCCCTTGGAAGCAGGACAGATGGCTTACCTCTTTCTCTGCCTCTTTAAGTTCAGCTTCTTTCTCCTTCACTCTCATAACAAACATTTGTCTCATTTCTTCTTCTTTCTTCTGCAGTTCTCCCAGGAATTCATTCCTTTTTGCTTCATATGTCTCCTGAAGACTATTCAAAATCCACAAACCAAGGACAGCATTATGAAATTGTATACTAAGAAATTTCAGTTCACATAATTTCTACCCATCTACTGCCAAAACATAAAGTTGTTGCTTGCCATATTAAAGCATAAGTAGAATGACACTGTTTTGCTTTTAGTTATTCTGTGGTTGGAAAGACAAGTGCATCAAGAACTAGAAATCAGTCAGTAAGCATGACATAGCACTAAAGGTATGTCTCTGACTAGCCAAGTTTTATCTTACATATATTCATACAGGGAAAACCTGGGCTGAGGAGGTGGAGGTGGTATAGGATTTGAGAAGATGGAGGAGGCCTGGTATAGGGGGAGAAATGAAGAGGCACTGGAGTCCCACAGATCCAGGTTTGAATTCGGACTGTACCAACTGACCGGCTGTTCTTAGAAAAGCACAGCCTCCCTCAGCCTCCAAGGTCTGAGACGTGGATACAGTGACACTTACCTTCTAGGGATATGACCCTGAGAATGAAATGAAGGAAAGGGAATAAAACATCGAACATATAATCAGTGCCCAGTAAATGGTACTCTCCCCTCTCATCTCCCTCCAGCCCCCAATGTGGAAAATAAACCCAGCAAAAGTAAACTAAAGAGACAACATTACCTTTAAAGGTATTGTAGAAAATTGCTACTTTTCAAGTTATATTACCAGTTGTAAATAGAGCAGGGAGAATAGTTTAATTTTTATTTTCAATTCTATCCTCCTCCTGACTGTCTCGGAAGTTAGAGCCCAATATTCTACATTGAATGCTACAGCTCAGCTTTATCTCTAAGTCAAAACAAATATATTTACAGAGAAATCACTTTGGTAGCACAGCTTAAGAAAATACAACCCCACTGCCACCCCCACATACACACAGAAACATTTGCTGATATTTTATAGGTGCTATTTCTCTCTCTGTCTTGCTGTTTCCCTAAAATAACTGTTGTATATTAACCGTCTGCAGTATATCTGCCTTTCCCATGGACCGAATTCGTCCAAAGCATAGACTACAAACTGGATAGCCACTCCGGATGACCCCTGGTACCATGCGGACTACCACACATCATTACATCTGTCCATTTAGATAAAGAAAAAGGAAATTCAGGTGATAGGAACATACGTGCATGTAGATACACACATCTATAATGAACTACAGAACTAGTTTAGTGTTAGAAAATGTATTAGGCCAAGCATGGTAGCTCACGCCTGTAATCCCAGCACTTTGGGAGACTGAGGCAGGAGGATCACCTGAGGTCATGAGTTCGAGGCCAATATGGTGAAACCCCCATCTCTACTAAAAATACAAAAATTAGCTGGGTGTGGTGGTGAGCACCTGTAACCCCAGCTACTTGGGAGGCTGAGGCAGGAGGATCACTCGAACCCAGGAATTGGAGCTTGCAGTGAGCTGAGACCATGCCATTGCACTCCAGCCTGGGCAACAGAGCAAGACTCCATTTCAAAAAAAGAAAACGTATTACTTAGGCTGGTTTTTACTTCAATAATTAACATGGTTATTAGTTTATTAAAAGTAAGTTCTCTTGCCCTCGCCACTATCAATAGTACCTGTTTATAAACAATTGTTTTGAGTTTCCAGAGGTACATTTAGCTTTCACATTATCTTACAAGATAAAAACATGTTCGGCCAATGTTAATGTTGGCTAATATTAATAGCAATAGTTGGACTTCAAGTTTAAGATCTATAGTGATGGATATATAGAGAAGTATACTGATAACAGAACTATAAAATAATTCATGAAATTTTGCATACTAGCTTATAATAAACTCTTCATCACTATTATTTAGCTCAGAATTGCCAAAGGTAGAGGATGACTTGTCCCTCCTATGAAATTTTACAGAAAACTCAGTTTTTGTTGATTTTAGAATAATGAATACATCTCCCTCTTATTTCTAACAAACAATGGAAACTTTGATAGAAACACTACCCAAAATGTATTCCAGAGACCACCAATTTCAAGAAAGGATCTCCAAAAGAGGGGCTCCAACGTCAAAAGACAGAAGGGAGAATGGTGCCCCTACTATCCTTTTAGCAGATTCACAGTGCATGGTGGATCTCAACCCTGGCCGCACAGCAGGGGCACTGGGCACGTTTTTTTGCATACACTTCCCTAAATACAGAGTCCTAAGTTCAGTCCTGGAGAGGCTGATTCAGGATGTCTGGTAAGGCAAAATTGTCTAGTTTTAAATGCTTCCCAGATGATTTGATGTAACTAGTCTGCTAGTTTTAAATGCTTCCCAGGTGATTTGATGTAACTAGTTTGCTAGTTTTAAATGCTTCCCAGGTGATTTGATGTAACTAGTTTGCTAGTTTTTAAATTGCTTCCCAGGTGATTTGATGTAACTAGTTTGTTAGTTTTAAATACTTCCCAGGTGATTTGATGTAACTAGTTTGCTAACTACTGCTTGTCTTAAATGCTCTGAGAAGCCCAAGAGTAAAAGAACCTGTTTAACTTGATTGTCTTAGAACCCTCCAAATTTGTCTGATCATGGAAAATTTAAGCAATTCACTGATAGAATGTGCTCTGGGTAATGCTACCCTAAATGCTGAGAACTCACTAAATGACTCTGCCTTATCCAGTTCCAACCACAAGCTATCTTATGCTTCAGTTTCTGGAGCTACATTTTGAAACTATGAATCACAACTCAATTGTGGGTCTTAACCAGTACGTTAAAAAGTTTAAGAGTAGGCATTACTACACAAAATGTGTATGCTGGATCATGATGGAAAATGCTTTTTATAGTGAAGCTTGCAGTCCAAAATTGGAAAGCCTAGTCCCAGAGAAAACCTAAGGAGCAACTTTGCCATTGGCAAAACTGGAAGCAGTTTTGACACCAACAAATGCTACTTCTTATATCATTGTGTCTTAGGATGTGAGCCAGCTTTTGAACTCTGACATTGGAAACAATAATCAGGAATATAAGAAACATAAGCCATAAAACCTTACCCCAAGGAATCACAACTGTAATTAGTTACTTACAAATAACTTAGAACCACAGCATCCACAGAATCAGATTCCCAGACACCTCTGCCAGTTGAGTTGTCCACTGGAGATACCAGAAGCCCTCACTAATATTTCCCAGTCATTGAAGACCAGTTCAAAAGGAACTGGCTCATATCCAGTAAAGATATCCAAAGTGATTATATATCTTTTTTTCTTTTTTTTTTTTTGGAGACAGGCTCCTACTGTCTCACCCAGGCTGGAGTGCAGGGGCAGGATCATAGCTCACTATACCCTCGAACTGCTGGGCTCAAGCGATCTTCCCACTTCAGCTTCTTGAGTAGTTGGGACCAACCACAAGCATGTGCCACCATGTCTGGCTAATTTTTTTTTAAATTTTTTGTTGAGATGAAGTCTCCCTATGTTGCCCAGGCTGGTCTTACATTCATAAGCTCAAGTGATCCTCCTACCTCAGCCTCCTAGAGTGCTGGGATTTCAGATGTGAGCCTCTGCACCCATCTCTTCAGTGGTATCTTCCGCAACTTTTAGTTCTTCAAAGTTAATTTTTAATTACAGTTACTAATACCCTTTTCTAAGTGAGAAATGTGTACCTTTTTCACAAGATTTTAGATTGATTTGAAATTGAGGATTTTATCTTGTAATTTCCTCTTAACAGCCCTTGGGAGAGGCAGGTTTTGCTTGTGGAGGTCAAAGGAAGAGAATGAACACAGACACTTCAGTTCATCCTTCATTCTGGCGATTCACACAGTACAATTCTCTCTCTGTTCTTATCTAAAAGCATCTAGTGGAGAGCATGCCAGAGTATGATAATCTCTACCAGCATTTGTGGAGTGGAGCAATACAAACGTGAATTCATTTAATCCTTACAACAACCCAGTAAGATAGACAATACTATCACCTCCCACTTTATAGATGGAGAAACTTGGACACACAGGTAATTTGAGCAGGTCACACAACAAAGAAGTAACAGAGCCAGGACTGAGCCCAGGCTACCTTGCTCAGATAAGAACTCTACCTCCTGCATTGCATAGCTGGTGTACGGAGGCCCAGCCACTCCTAATGAGTCTCCTGGGCCTGGACCTTGTTGGCCTCTGAGAAAATGGTGGTAACTGAGTGTTTTGTGTGAGTTGAATGGGGATGAAGCAAGGAGATGGTGGTGTTCCAAGGTGAGATGAGAGCAGCTTGGACAGGTACTGTTAGGAAAAGCGCAGTGGCCTCTCAGGAGAAAGGAAGCAGGGAGTAGCTCATGGAAGACACATGACATCTCCTCTTCTACCCTATAATGCCAGCAGAAAGGGGTTGGGGTCGAGGAAGGAGAGGCCTGGGTCCAGGGAAGTATGGGTGCTCTGGATGGTAGAAGCATGAGTTTCAAGGCTTCAGGGCAGCAGCTGGGCATGCGCGGGGGGAGGATAAAGATGGGCTTGGGAAAGAGCAGATGAATGCCTGGTTATATATGTATTCTGCCACAAGACAATAAAGACACAAGTGTGAATGCAGCCATGTTTAAAGGCAATCTAGGGTCGGGCTCCACTAGCTTTACTGCCGTGGTGTGCTGCCAAGGCTTGAATACAGCGTCTCTGTGCACACCCTGCCCCTCCTTTTGCCTCACACTGTGTAACATACACAGTGGCACTGCCTCTTACTAGACTTGGCCTTAGAGGTCACTCTCTGTTTTACAAACATGTACTGTAAACACAAGTGGGGCCCAGAGGACAAATGGTGAATGAGGGTGCTCACTGGGAAGGATGAACTTCACTGCACACCCATGCAGAAATCCTGTGCTTTGAGAATATAAAACCTTAAGCCCTTGATTTATACTCCTCCAAGCTCAGCCTAAATTCACACGGAAGATCCATCTTCCACGCACATCCAGGAATGGTGACTTTGCAGATGAAATTCTGGAAAATCACTTAAATCAATTGTGGCTTCTGCTTTTCCTTAACTCTGTCATCCTCCAAACAGAGTCACCTCACTCCATTCCTCCTTCTCAGGTGCACAGGAAGTGCTGAGGGTGCCCGAAATTCTTCAAAGCAAAGGCTGAGCCCTTTTAAAAGTAGTGGTTTCCAAGAAAAGGAAACTCAAATTCATTTCATATCACTGTTTACCAAGACATGTGATTTAAAGCCAACTTTTGGTACCAAGTGATCTTCCCTAAACCAGGAGGGACACCAGAGTTTGAATGAGTGGTCTAAGACGAGAAACTGTTTCCAGTTGAAATGGAAAACCTGGTCCCAGTTACCGAGATGTTAGAAGGTATTTCTTTTTAGAAGGTCTACTTTTTTCTAATTTTCTAATTTTCTTATATATGGAAAAAAGTAAAGGCCTTGGTAATATATATGTGTATATATATAATGTGTGTATATATATCTATTATATATACATAAGCTATACATATATTGTTATTATTAATAATATAATTATAATATATTATATAATTATATAAATAATATATATGATTATATATGTTATATAATATATAATTATTTTATATATCTATATATATAGCGTGTGTGTGTGTGTGTGTGTATATATATTTTCCCTTTTCATCATCAAAAAGTAAAACTCAGGCCAGTGGAAATGGATCCAAGTGGGGAAGGGAGATATGGATAAAGCTCTCTAAGCATCAGGCAGACTCAGTGATGTCCCTCACCAATCCTGAAGCCACTGAAACAGGGAGAACAAAGCAGTGGGCTGGTCCAGCAGCTTCCCTCGCAGAAGCCCTGCTGGGCCTACCCAGCTCCACCTCTTCCTGGTGGGCAGTTACTCTGGGCTTGCAGGAAATGCCTTAATTAAAATGCTGGCTACACAGACAACTTAGTGGCCTGTAGCAGCAGGAAATCCTCACCATCCCCAGGCTCCCAGGGAATCTAAGAAACCCAGTCAAGATGGTGGAAGGACTTGGTCTTGCCTGTCCCAGAAGACTTAGGCCACTGGGCCCTTCCTGGTGGTGTAGATAGCTAAGGGTAGCATCATAGACTCTTCGAATTCCACAGATTACTGAGTTGAAAGAAACACAACTATGCCAAATGGCTCTGAACATTTTGAGAAGTAAAAACACTTTGAGAGGTAAATGACCTCAAACTAACTCAAGAAACAGTCACACGCATTCTAACTTTTGCAGGCAGTTCACAGGCTCCAAGTTATGATCTTGTCTAGGGGTTGGGCAACTACAGCCTGAGGACCAAATCTGGCCCCCCATCTGTTTTTGTAAATGAAGTTTTACTGGAACACAGCCATGTCCATTCATTTACAGTATGGTCTATGGCTGCTTTCGGACAAGGGCACACTGAATAGTTGTGATAGAAACCATTTGGCCTGCAGAACCTAAAATGTTTACTATCTAACCCAGTACAGAAAAAAAAATTTTTTTACTGGATCTAATTATTCCATGATCTGGATCAGCTCCTCTTTTTTTTTTTTTTTTTTTTTTTTTTTGAGAGGGAGTCTCGCTCTGTCGCCCAGGCTGGGATGCAGTGGCCAGATCTCAGCTCACTGCAAGCTCCGCCTCCCGGGTTTACGCCATTCTCCTGCCTCAGCCTCCCGAGTAGCTGGGACTACAGGCGCCCGCCACCTCGCCCGGCTAGTTATTTTTTGTATTTTTTAATTGAGATGGGGTTTCACCTTGTTAGCCAGGATGGTCTCGATCTCCTGACCTCGTGATCCGCCCGTCTCGGCCTCCCAAAGTGCTGGGATTACAGGCTTGAGCCACCGCGCCCGGCCCAGCTCCTCATTTCACAGATGAAGAAATTCAGGCTCAGGTGGGTTAAGAATTTGTAGCACAGCAGGACCAAGAACTGAACTCAAACTCCTGACTCCTAGCCCAGTACTCTTCAACACTATCTGGATTTGAATGAAGGCGAGGGGAAAACGAATTCAATTTTATAGCAGTTCCTTTTTTTCAATATCTCTTTGCATGAAAACAAATATTCTATGTAATAGTGAAGATGGCCTTTCCCACACAGAAACTGTTTCATCAGGTTTAGTAACCATAAAGTGGACTTGCCTTTGTAAGGACTGTTTTCTGGTAAATGCATTTCAAGGTTCAATAAGTTAAACCTATGTACACAAAAAGGTGTCCTTTACCTTGCCTCAGAATGTGACTTTCACATGGTTGGAGATGGTCAGTTTTGCAAGCCGCCAGGGCAGAAGGGAATGATGCAACCTTGGCTAGAAGTTAACCTCTTGGTAAACCCCTTGTCTGGGTTCTGCATTTGTTCTCACTGCATACACACATGCTCGTGGAACTCCTCAGCAGCAGAGTGCCAGGCGACAAGCCCAGGCATTCCTAAACTATCTCTAAAGCAATTGCAAGAAAATAAACTCCCTCCTGGCCGGGCGCAGTGGCTCACGCCTGTAATCCCAGCACTTTGGGAGGCCGAGTGGATCACAAGGTCAGGAGATTGAGACCATCCTGGCCAACACAGTGAAACCCCGTCTCTACTAAAAATACAAAAATTAGCCGGGCGTGGTGGCGGGCGCCTGTAGTCCCAGCTACTTGGGAGGCTGAGGCAGGAGAATGGCGTCAACCCGGGAGGCGGAGCTTGCAGTAAGCCGAGATGGCGCCACTGTACTCCAGCCTGGGTGACAGAGCGAGACTCCGTCTCCAAAAAAAAAAAAAGAAAAGAAAAGAAACTCCTCCTACAGACCCACAGGGACAGAATCTGCTGTGCACAGGCTGCCTCGGGTTCTATTGTCAGCCAGCTTATAGACATCAGAGTGTGTTGTAGGGCTAGCCAGCAAAGAGGAGAAAAACAGGTTTTTTTCCCCAAGGAACTATGGCCCTCAATTTCTAAAGGCACAGAGCCCAGACACACCTCACAACACCTGAATTCGAATTCCCATTAACAAACAGCCTGGGGGCCAGGCGGGGTGGCTCACGCCTGTAATCCCAGCACTTTGGGAGGCTGAAGCACTCCAGCCTGGCGACAGAGCAAGGCTCTGTCTCAAAAAAAAAAAAAGAAAGAAAAGAAAAGAAACTGCTTCGGCACCATCTGGACAATCCTCTCCTCCACCAGGAGGTGGCGAACCTGGCCTGGCAGCCTCACCCCACACCTTTATCCAGAACCATCCCACGACTCACCCCAGTGTGGGCCAATCCTATCCCTACCACTGGATTCTGACGGGGTCTGGGCTTCAGCTGGGGTATTAATTCTACATCCATTTCTCCCCTTCACATTTTGCATCTTTATCTGCCAGTGATATAAAAAAACACATAATCTCCTGAAAGCTATTCTCCTTTCCTCCTGATTCTTTGTTGTTAGAATTTTACTGAATCACTGAAAGCTAATAGTAAAAGTGCTTGACAAAGGAAGAGCCTTCAGAAGTTAAAGGTGTTTGGCAAAAATGAATGGGGCAAACTGTAATCAGCAGCCACACCTTTGTAAATGCATCAACCAGGCTCTGTACCTCTGCAAGAGAACAGGCAGAAACCTGGGCTCAGGACCCAGATGGCAAGAGCTCAACACCACACCACTGTTTACTACTTGGAGGACCTTGGGCAGTTTGTTTACACTTTCAGTGCCTTTGTTTCCTCATCTGTAAAATGTGGATGATAATAATAATGACATCAACTAGATAAGTTAGTTGAGATAATGCAAATAAAGCAATTATCCCAATGCCTGACAACATATGTATTAATCTTCACCCACCAGATCCTTCCATCATCACCATCTCAATCCAGCAAGCATTTCTGTGATGTACCAACATGCCACTCTCACCACTGTCTAGGAGACAGCTGATTGCTAGGTGCCTTCATACCTGAAGGGTTTGCTGTCAGGGTCAGTGTCCTTGAACCCCATCTCTTCAAGCTTACAGCGTCGGTACAATTCGTAGTGGCGGGTGTGAGTCTGCTCTCGCAAGTCCTCCATGTTCACCCGGATCAGCATCTCTCGAAGTTTCACAAAATCACAATGATTTTCATTCTCAACTATAAGAGGGGGGAAATGGAGGAAGTAGGATCAGCAATGATGTCACTGAAATATCTGCAGTGATGCTTCCAAGATGTTACTACCATCACTCCTGAAATCTCTGGGGTCTCAAGGTCATCTGAAGATCCTTTACTGGATTCACCTTACATTCATGATGAAGACAAGATTTCTGACAACACTGACCATAATACTGATGACAATGCTGACTTCTGAGTGCCTACTGAGCACAGGGCACAGGGGGAGGAGCTTGAAAACAAATATTGTCTTTACCCCTCATAATAACTCTGCCAAGTAGATGTCATGACTTGCTTTGCAGATGCAGGAGCTTGGTGAGCAAGCTGATCTCCCAAAGAGAGGTAGTAGAGTCTAGGTTCAAACGCTAGAACATCTGATCCAAAGCCAGATGTTGTACCACACCATGCTGTCTATAACTGTGCAGGGCCACTTTTACATACCACTTCATTTAATTTTATCAACGACACTGGGAAGAAAGGAATTTTCTTATTGTAGAGAAATTGGTAAGAGTAAGAACAATTGTATTTTTCCCAGGGATCTCAAAGGTACTGTTTCTTCTCACAGCTTTATTGTCTTTATTCAAAACAGAGGAAGAGGAGGTCTGACACATCTTAAACCAATGAAGAACTTTCTGTAGCCATCCTGCTTAATCCATAGCACTGGATGTCCTCCTTCAGAACACAAGGGTAGGTCATACAGTCCTTGTCCTTCAAAGTGACATACCTGACAAGCTTTCAGGTTAGACTGTGGCCATGTCCCACAGTGCCAAATATAGGTCAAATATTCTCATAAGTCTCAGATTTACTAAGATAACATTTTATTAGAAGGCGTTTTTTGCATAGTTGATGGAGAAAAAAGTACCCTCTTGTTTGCAAGAAACTTTTTGCTGCTTTTTAATACTTGGCTGATAAAACAAGTTCCAACTCCTAGGGAAGAACTATTTTTCAATCAGGACTTTATATTAATTCCCTACACAACCCAGCATCCTTGAGAGGCTACCTCAAGGGATTGGCAGTCATATCTCTCCATTGTCCACCTACCTGATTACTTTTTCTTTCTTCCTCACCTCCACGAGTGTGGAGCCCTACCACACCCTCCCACTGCCAGCCCACTGTTGAGGGCCTCCCTAAACAAGACGGGAAATGAACAAACACGGCCATTCACATAGGGACTAAATGTGAAGACTCCATCTCCCATGCTGTGCACATACCCTGCACCACACCCCAGGGGTACTGCCTGGCCTTTGCCATCTTGTTGCCAATCTTCACCTCTTCGGTGCTGCCAACCACTGCAAATGGGAGATGGACCTGCCAAGCAAAAGGACAGAGAATAGTTACCTTCCCCTGCTCTGACAGACTGGTTTCCACCAGTCTCTATCTTCTTCCTCCTTCTGCAGGCCTCTACTTGGTGGCAAGGGAAAAGCAGGCTGCAGTTTGGTGGGTGGATGTCACATATCCCATCCCCCTTACAACCCAATACCGAATATGCGATAGGAGCTAGATTCAAGGGAAAACTGTAGGCGTCTTTGCGGCTATAAAGTAAGTTTTAGACTTGTGCTAGCCGATGCAGTAGCCACTAACTATATGTGGCTGTTGAGCACTTGAAATACAGCGTGTAGGACCAAGAAATTGAATATCTAACTTTTAATTGGTTTACCTCTAAATTTAAAATAGAAGCAATGTAAAATATTTTTCCATTAAATGCAACTTTATTGTTTTGGTAAAACTGCATTTCACTTTGCTTCAAACTCAAATCTTCTGAAAAACAAGACCAAGGTAGATGGCAAGGTAGACACAAGATTAAAGATAAAGTATCTTTTTGGCACTTATTTCATATTGAAAATCTTTAAGGTATGTTAGGAGAAACCTGGGTATGTAAATTTACCTTTTTAGCTGTGAATTTTATAAAATGTATATACAGATAAAGTATTTTTGGTGAAAATTCAGTCCAAAATGAGATAAGCTGTCATTGTAAAATATACACTGGATCTCAAAGATCTACCATTAAAATGTGTGTGTGGTTTTTTTTGTTTTGTTTTGTTTTTGAAATGGCATCTTTCTCTGTCACCCAGGCTGGAGTGCAGTGGTGCTATCCCGGCTCACTGCAAGCTCCGCCTCCTGGGTTCACACCATTCTCCTGCCTCAGCTTCCCGAGTAGCTGGGACTATATAGGCGCCCGCCACCATGCCGGGCTAATTTTTGTATTTTTAGTAGAGACAGGGTTTCACCATGTTAGCCAGGATGGTATTGATCTCCTGACCTTGTGATCCACTCGCCTCGGCCTCCTGAAGTGCTGGGATAACAGGTGTGAGCCACCACACCCAGCCTAAAATACCTAATAATTTTTATATTGATTACATGTTGAAATTATATTTTACAACATATTGGGTTAAGTCCTTAAAATTAATTTCACATTTCTTTTTACTTTCTTTAAGGTGGCTACTAGAAAATTTTAAAATACTTGTATGTCTCACATTACAGTTCTACTTGAACAACACTGCTTTAGACAGTTGACTACTGCACAAATTCTAAGTCAGAAACACACTTTAGCCCAAATTATTGGCTCAAGTTTTGCACCCAGACTTATCTGAAGTAGAGATGGTGTCCAAGAAAACTGACTCTTTCACATCGGTTTATTTGGTAGTTATCACTGCATTCTGAGTGGGAGAGGAAATAATAATCCTATCTTTTTTCTATCAGCATGTAAGAATAAGATTTGAAATAGCTGCTCCAAGAATTATTATTTAGAGTTCCTTGATCCAGTGTTCTTCCACTATAGATACATTGAGAAAGAAGATAAAAGTTTTCAAGCCAATTCCTCTCCTACAGAGAACTTGGCATAATCATTGGCTCAGGTTTCCCAAGTAGCTTTTTGTCGGATGCTTAAGATATTGACATTTTCTAGTTCATCTCACACTCTAAGAAGGAAAGAAAGTGTATTCTCTTTCTCAAACAAGTCTGAGTTTCAGACTTGAACACTATTGTTGCCTGAAGTTGAGGAGCAACAGGACCTTTCCAGTCAATATTTTGGTGTAATGACCAAGGAAATTTCTCCACTCAAATGTAACAAAAGCGACTGCCAGTGGAATCTGTTTTCCTCAGATTTCTACACATTACGTGGAATTTCATCAGCAAAAATTGTCTGTAATGAAGAGCCTAAAAAAAAATTCTTTAAAGAACAGGATTAATTTGGAATGTCAGAGATTCAGTTCTATTAATCTGATAAAGACAGAAAGAAAATAGAGCAAAAATTCTTGGGTATTTTCTTTCCAATAAGTTTAACACAGATATAGTTCCATGAATATAAAATAATGAAAACTTATTTAGAAGGATAGGAATATAAAGAAAAATTACATAGCAGTCATTCATGATACTTCCTGAATACCACACTGACATCCCAAATTATAGTTCTACAGCAGAATAAAGGAGTGCCATCTCAGCTTGAGATTTTGACCTTGCTATAAAAAAGTACAGACCTCCGCAGTATCCACAGGGTGCGGGTTCCAGGACTGTCCATGGACACTGAAATCTGCAGGTGCTCAAATCTCTGATATAAAATGGTATAGTATTTACAAATAACCTATGCACATACTCCTGTATACTTTAAATCATCTCTAGATTACTTATAATACCCAAGACAATGTAAATGCTATATAAATAGTTATTATACTATATTTTTAATTTTTTTTTGTAGAATTTACTTTTTATTTTTCTTGCTAAGTTGACCAGGCTGGTCTTGAGCTCCTGGCCTCAAGTGATCCTCCCTCCTCAGCCTCCCAAAGTGCTGGGATTACAAGTATGAGCCACTGTGCCTGGCCATATATATTTTGTATTATTGTTTATATTGTTGCATTTTTTTTTCCAAATCTATTTGATCCATGGTTGGTCAAATCCGTGTATGCAGAGGACTGACTGTACACTGCTCTGCTTGGGTGGTAGTACACAGGGTGAGAATGTAAGCCTGACAGCCAAAGCCTGGGTTCGAATCCTACCTCCACTACAGACAGCTGTGCAATCTTAGGTGCTATGCTGCAGTCTCCTCATATATGAGGTAGGAATAATAATAGCACCTTCGTATGCAACTGTTGTGAGGATTAAATGGAAAGTCTTGAACAGTTCCTGGTGCATAGTAAATGCTCCAGAAATGTGAAAAATGTCAGGTGCTATTATTATTATGTAGCTGTCAGTACCCACAACCAGAGAATTTTACAGGTGGAAGAGATCTTGCCTATTACACAGTTCAATCCTGCTTAAGAATTCCTGCTACAGTATCTCTTCCAAGTGGACTGAAACAGGCTCTGTTATCAACTAACCACTGGTGATGGGAACTCACTACTTCCCAAGAAGTAAGGTGCGTCTTCCATCTCAGTGGCTCTACTAGTTAAACACTCACTTCGTAACGGGACCAAAACCCCTTGTTGATCTTTTGTCCATCCATTCTTTTGCACAAGTCTAGTCATTCTCCCTTGTGGCAACCTTCCTTTCACACCCCATCAAGCCTATTTCCTGGGAAGAATCTGCTTTCCAGATTCTTCCAGCGATTCTAGAGCCTTTACTACTTTGAATTCCAACAACCATCATTGGGCATCCACTATATGCAAAGCATGTGGCTTTCACGGATGTTATGCATTCCCAAAGGGAAAAAAGATGCGTAGAGTCATTGCAGCTCACAGCTGAGCTATGGGCTGAGACACACAAAAGAGCAGTGAAACAGACTTGAGCATCAACCGGCAGGATGGAGACTCACCAGGAGGGATTACATCATAATCACACAGGGAACCACTGTCACTTTAATCATTTATCTCCTGACTAGTTCCTCTCTGTGATGTGGAAATTGTATCCTCAACTGCCAATTTACCTAATGATTCAGAAAAGGGTAGGGAAAATAGAAAGGAGGGAAGGGCAGGATCCAATCATCAAAGCAAAATTGGGACAAGCTGACATATTTCTGCCAAGATTGGTGGAAACAAGCACAGATCTATTTCCTTTGAGCTACTTTTTGTGAAATGGTGCCGGGCTGGCATTTCCTTCTCACAAGATTTGCTGTAGAAATCATAACTGTTAGAGTGGGAAGGAAATTGGAGATCATCTTGTCTAACGCTCCCATTTGACAGATGGAGAAACTGAGGAGCAGACTGCTTAAATGACCTGAAGTGGTGGCAAAGCTGCACTAATCTGAAGTCATCGGGTGCCTAGTCAGTCCAGTGCTCCAGCCACTCTACAACGCTGGTACTAAGACAGGCGTTCATTAAAATCACTTGTTTCCATTTGACTTGAGGACTTACACTCATTGTCGCGTTAATCTCTGCCACCGTTTCTTCATCAGTGGGAAACTGATATATCTGGACCCCATTGCTGACTAGTTCACTCATGATCTTACTCTTGAATTTGTGCAGTTCATTCTTGGCAATGGTGTCAGCTTTTGCAATTATTGGAATGATGTTCACCTGTAAAACAGACACGTCCATTTTTACACAGTTCCAACATAAGAAAAATAGACAAGTGAATAAAACATAGCAAACAAATAAATAAAATTGCAAAACCTTAATGTAAAAAATAAAGATGTTGCATGCTTATATCAAAACATCTGAAGTACCCCATAAATATAAACACCTCCTATGTACCTACAATTTTTTTTTTTTTTTTTTTTTTTTTGAGGTAGAGATGATAATGAAAATCAGACTTTCTACCTAGGTGAAAAATTAAGAAGACCTGAGATAAACTTTTAGTTCCATATTCAAACACTTTTACTTCCTCCCATCCTGCACTGAAAGTATACTTGTAATTTCCCCTCCTGTGCTACCTCATTTTTCTTTACAGAGTAAAGGAAGTGTTGCTATTCTATGACAAATAGTGATAACAAAGGAGCCTGTTCTTTGAATGACCAACCACTCCTTTTAGACCCCTCCCATCTACTTTAGGCTCTTGATTTTTGCACACCCTAACAATATAATAACAAAGTTTTTGTAAGAGCAGTGGAGTATTCCGTCCTATGCAGCCCAACATCCTTTCTTTCTTCTGATGACCTGAAAATTGCTGAGAGGAGAACCTATGTATTAATCAAAACAAAAATGGTGTCGCCCACTGTAAAAGTTTTCAAAATCACACCAACTAATTCTTTTGAAAATCAGCTTCTATCAAATTACTCCTTCATGCCGGAATAAAACTGAGCGCCAAAGGCAAGGCTCACTTTCACAGCATCGGTTACAAAGAACAGGGGAGAACTCAGAATTTGACAGTAGTGGCAGGAAGCCCAGAAAGGGAGCGAAGGATACCCTAGAGCACAAGTTCCAAACCCTGTGTGGACATTCTTTTCCCGGCTGCCCCCAGCCCTGTGCACGGGACACATTTCTTAAATTCACATTTTAAGATTAATTTTCCCCTAATCCCTGTAAAAACAGAGGTTTCAATAAGATATTACTGACATCCGATATATAGAAGTATGGTCTTCACCCAGCTTAGGTGAGAGAAAACAGACTCGGTGAGCAAGCTGTCCTAGCCAGGGAACAGAGAGTCTTTCGGGAGGTGTTCAGGTCACATCTGCATGCCTTTGCTTCTCCTTTTATCCAAAGGCCACATTAGAAATCCTAATAAACCCAAATGAGATGACACGCTGACAGAAAGACCTATTCTTCAACCTATTCCTCAACCTGCTCCTAAGCTCACTATGCTTGGGCTTCCTCCAGCAAGTTGCAGACTAAGAAAAACATCATTGAGGGTGGGGGAAATGTTTGGATCAGGACTGGAGGAACAAGAAACTTCCTGTTGTTCTCACTGGCTATCTTTTATGCACATTTAGTATTTAATTAATGTCAACATAAACAAAATGGCAGCGATTCACTCCTTCTTGGGCAAATTGATCAGAGGAGATAGAGAAATCAAGCAATTTGGTTTTAAAACCTCTTTTTCCTCATTGGCAGGGGCTTGAAAGTCATTCCTGAAATGACCATACATTTGCTTAACTCTTCCCTTTACTTGTATAAATAAAACTTTGATATTATCATTTTCGGATGCTAGGTAGCTCTCCAACTCTCCTACGATATCACTTCTTTGAAAGTTTAACCTGCCTTATGGTTGGTTGTTTGCTTTTATTAGTTGTGCCTGTTATGCATTTTTCTTTTCCTTTTTCAATGAACTCTATTAAACATAATCATAGTGTTGGATATTATCCGGCTAGATCTGCATACTCAGCCCTCAGTTAGGAAGCCTCCTCAGTCTACTTCCTTCAGAACGTCTGTGGAGAACGGGGCACTCTTGAGAACAGGGAGGTCTGCCCCTGCTTCCAAGGACACGACAGACCCGGAAGCGGCCCTCACTGCCCGTGATCTCTCCACTATCATGGCTAATGGCACAGCTCCCAGGGGAGCCGAGGAATCAAATGGGATGAAGAAGGGTTTCTATTTATTCTGCGAAGAGTACTCTAGCTGCAATGATGCTTCCAGGCCATTAGAAGATTTTTCTATAAACTACTGTGTCTGTGCCTGCTGGAAGCCGAAGGAGTCTGGCTTGGCTTCAGCCTCTCCAGACCTCTAAAGGCCAGTTCAGAGGCCTTGGGGACAGGCTGATCTTCTGAGCATTCTCTCGCTGTTCTGTCCCTCTGGAGAGAAAGCATCTTTTATCAGTGGTGTTGTTTAGACAAAATCATAGTAACAACACCCAGCAGAGTCCTCTAAAGAGCTTTATCATCTAATAAGACTTTTCTGTGAATGCAAAAGGCATTTTGAATCTAAGAGTAAATACCTTCCATGGCTTTGCTTTGTGGTTGTTCCTGTTGCCATTTGTTTCATCCTCATTTCAGAATGTATTCTCTTCTATTTATTTCAAAATGGAAAGTCTAATTAATTATATAGTAAAAGTGCCAAATTTTATCAAACTGACCAGTCTCTTCCTTCACGTGTTGTGAGAAAAAGAAGGTATAAATGTGGCAAGCTCAGGGATCACACTTAAATGAAGACTTTGTTTTACTTGAACACACGTGTGCAGTTCAGTTTTAAAATCTAAGAAGCTGGACCATTATTATCACAGAGACAAAAATGTAACCTTTTATTCCATTGTAAACTTTGAATTAAAACCAAACCTCTAGAAACCTGTTAGAGAAAGTTTTTTTTAAGAAAATAAACAAACTTGGAAGTTATATTTCAACCTCCCATGTAAGAATTAAAAATACTTCCTGAAAGCGACTTAATTTTTTTTTTTCTAGTTTTGTTTTGTTTTGTTTTATTTTATTTTTGTCTAACAGGCAAGAGGTTTTGAAGTGTTTTTCTCATGCTGTCAAACACTGTTCCTGTAATCCAGGGCAAAAAAATCACATTGAAAGCAGAGAACAAATTAGGGCATTAGGATAAAGAAGATCTAAAAGGAGAGTGGATGATAATCAGAGTGGCAGCAGGTACCTTACTGTCCAGCTTTTTCATGGTGACCAGATCCAGGGACTTCAGTGAATGTCCAGTAGGGGCAATAAAGTAGAGGCAGGCATGGATCCTCGTGTCATGGTAGTTGAAGAGAGAACGTTTAATCTTCAATTCCTCTTGCAGGTAGGCCTCGAACTGGGCATCAATATATTCTACTATCGGCTTATAGCTAGAATGCAGAAACAGCATGTTTCTAGTCTCAAACCTCTTTCACAGTTTGGTGTAGACAATCCTCCATTCAACATCACAATGGCTTCTTCTTTCCTAAGGGCTAAAGCCCAAGTCCTCACCTAGGTATCCAAGGTCTTCCATCACCTGATGCCTGAACAGGGCTCCAGGCTCACCTCTCCTGTCCCAGCCACACCCAACCATTTGTAGCAGCCCCCGCATGTCAAGCCCTTATTTCCTCTGTGTCTTTGCTCACGCTGGCCCCTCTGTGAGAACCTGTCTTTTTCCTACTCTTTTCCTGGCTAACATTGATCCTCTAAAACAGAGACTGTACATACGTGCAGCGGGCTGCCACTCTCCCAAGGTGCATCCATGGAAGATATTGCTAAGAGATTGTGGCATTCTTTCCTGCTGGGCCAAAACTGGGCCTCAAAAATCCATCTGAGAAAAGTGATTGTGACAGCTTCTCCCTAATGATTGCCATTGGTGCACAAAATGAAACTGTTGTGTGGTTTCAGAATACGACACCACCACCTACTGCGAGCTATTTCCTGGTCATCTGCCCTATTCCTCCAGAGGTGGGGGCTCTCTGTGCTCCCATAGCCCTGTGCACAATCCAACTCACCTAGGAACTGAGGTGCCTAGACTATTATGATCTTCAAGATTCCTTTCAACTCAAAATCTTCTTGATTTAAAGGTAAACGTTGTAACCTTCTCTTCTCACCAAATCATTCAAATCTGTTTTGGATAATTGTGTGTGATCCTATTAACTGACCATAAACACAATGACGAATAGCATATTGGGGATACACATTCCATAAACCACATGTCCAGGAAGTAAGCAGTATGTTAGGTCATTGTGGGAAACCCACTAATTTTTTCTGGTCTCCAAAGGGACTACTCAGAAGAAGTTTGTTTTAGCAACAAAGAGACTGTTCTATTAGGAATACAAAGAGTTAATTCTCCCCAAACTTATTGCCTTTCCGAAGATATAAGTTTTAAGAAAAATCAAAACATTTCAACACCTAAATCCCATACCCATAAGTTAAACTGAAACCCTTGAAAGGGAACCACAAATCTTTTATAATAAAAGTGACAGCAGACATCCTAAGAAAAACAAACATCCCCAAAATAAACAATAACCACAAACAAACTTATGAGCAAAACTGAAAGCAGTCCATAAAAAGCTTTTTGATATTTTTCTTTGGTGATTTTATCACAATCTATTGGTTCAATTAAAGTAGACAAAATCTCCAGAGGTTTAAAAAAAAAAAAAAGGTAGGATATACTTCAGGAATAATAAAATTCCATCTCATGACAGGCAAAATTCCAATAAAAAGAATCAATGAGCAATAAGATTCTTCTATATTTTCTAATCTTGAAATATAGACATATATTGCATAATAATAATATTTAATGAGATAATTATAGAGGATGGTGGTTAGAAACATGGATTCAAGCCAAACTGCCTAAAACCATAATACAGCTGCACAACTTACTAGCTGCACAGCCTTAAGTCACTAAACCTCTCTGTGTCTCAATTTCCTCACAGGTAAATCAGAGACAAAAATGGTAGTTCTATCAGAGAGCTACTGTGACAAATAAATGAGCCAATACATGCAATACATGTAAAGGGCTGTCATATAAAAGGTATAACTATTGCATAATTATATAATAAATAACCAAGAATCAAGCCTGACTTTTTAGAAAAACCTTAAAAAAAAAAAAAAGGAACTTTACATTCACCCAGTTCTCTGCTGGTATCTGTCCTGCTATGGAGCTCATGCCCAGGAGGGAAGTGCAGCAGGCCACTCCAGTGAGGTCCACCCATGCCCTTTGCCCTTTCAGTGTGGGGCTGATCCTTCAGTCTCCTGACACTGAGACAGATTTGGGGATTAGGGATCTTCCCTAGCAGCCTATTATCCCCAAGGGTAAGAGAAGCAGCTCACAGCAATTGCTCCCCTGCATCCCCGGTGTCTGATTTTTAGCTCTTAGCACTCCTCCTCTCAATAGTAGTCCAAATATGGTTCTGCTTTCTATTAATTTCCCTTCTTGCCTCTGGGTTTTGATTCTGATCCTCCAAAGACAATGAGGCATAACATCACTCATTTTGCAGTGAGGAATGCTTTCCGCACTGGATTCAAGACATCTTTTGTTCTCTAATATCACAGACTTCCTTCTACCTGTTCTTATTATAGAGTCCTGGCCAATCATTCAGTCTCCTTTCCTTTCACTCCATGTGTTCCCTCTAGAAAATCACACTTATTCCCTCTAGAAAATCACTAGCATCCGATAGATAGTTCCACTCACCATCTATCTGATGACAAGTCATAAATCTCTACCTTCAACCCAGATCTTTTCTCAGAGCTTCAGATCCATCCACAATTGCTTATCCTATATTTTCAACTGCTTTCCCAACTAAATATGTCCAAAACTGAACTATTCATCCTGCCTTCAAACCTACATTTTCCCTGTATTCCTTAGCATGGTGGCCACCACCCACACCACTCGCCAAGCCAGAAAGCTGGGATTCAACCTGGAGCCTCCTTCTCTTACCTCACATACATAATAAATCTGAAATCCTATCTACTTTACCTTCCAAACCATTATTAACCAATACAAATAAATGTATTCCTGGACAACAATTTACCAAAACCACTATTCCCTATGTCAAAGATTTAATTATGATAATAAAATAGTTTCTTCTTGATGAGACTCAAGCCAGCCAAGTGGTTTTGTACTCCTCATCATCATCCTGTAGATGAGATGAATTATCTGCCTCTTCCTCCAAATCTTTTCCACTTCTGCATCTGAAGTCAGAAAGAAAGGAAGCTTAATCCCAGCTTAGCCTTTTGCTAGCTCCAGTCCTACTAACACTTATTTATATTCTTTTTGGCCAATTAAAACTTCCCTGGATTGTGGCCATATCAATCAGAGGAAAGACAGGAGGACAAATCCAGTCTAGCCCTTACATTTTCACATAATTTTCTTTTAAGGCATGGAGATATTCCTTGTTACACAGCACTCATTTTTTTCCATATACCTCCAGCCATAAAACACACACACACACACACACACAAACGACAGAGGCTAACCCTAAAACCGATGGAAAAAGATACTTAGACAATGTTTTCCATCCATCCAACCTACCCACTGATCATTCTTGCAAAATGACCAATGCCATCATTCAGAGACTGACTCTCCACTTCATATATGACCAAATACTTACCACGTTTTTCCCTTCTCTTGCTGTCTGTTAGCCAATTTTCCTTATCCCTTGACTACCTCCACCAGAAAGTGTGATTAAAAACTTAAAATTTAAAGGCCAAACAGTCCATCTCACTACTGTATAAAGATTTGGTGAGGTTGAAATTCCGTCTCGGGGATTTCAATTATTTCTCCCTTTGAGGGCTGACTATCATTATAGCTAGTGATACTCCATGGACAGCTCACCTCCCATCTCCCCAGTGTGGGGCAAACTAATTATTCTATTTCCAATTAAACAACAAAACTTGGTTTCCCTTCTTCCCCAGACCCCTTTCTTTCTCCACTAAACAGTACAAACAGCCAAAAACAAGGAAGCCCCTAAATAACAAAGAGTGAAATGTGCTTTTAAACATAACAGGAAACCTTACCAGATCTCTCTTCCTGCCTCCTTCTAGCTAGCCTGGTCTGAGGCAGATAATAATACAGCAATGCTGACATGTCCAAAGCCTACATAAACAAACTGGGACATTCTTGAAGTCTTGCATCTATGGCAGAAAAGCTTGCCTAATCCCCAAAGTAGGTAAAAATCAACATGGGTATAGAGAAATAGCACATCCCTTCCCGTATGGTTACATATTGATGCAGAAACGAATATCCCACTTCCAGTTTCTTGAGGGAAGCAGAGCCTGTCTGAATAACGATTTGTGAACAAGTCATTTGGCTTTACAGTCAACAGTGTCAACAATACCTTCTGAGGTACAGGGTAACAGAGAGTTTTAAGTGCCATTTAAAGAGGTTATGCAATAGCTGTCAAGAAATTTCAGAGGAAAAAAATATTTGGTATCTAGGTTAGGTTAATATCACACTTCCTCTCTTCTAAATCTCCTTGGAAACTATTATTTGACCCAAATGAATCAGATAATTTCTTAAGGAGGGCTCCAGCTGCAAATATGAGGATATGCATTGTCCTAGCTGTTTGCTGCTGAGTGCTGATTGGGAAGTGAAAAGGCACCAGCAGCCCGAGGGAAAGTCCCAGTTTAGGGGAGAGGCAAAAATCGAGTAGCAGCACTGTGGCAACCCCAGTGAGCTGGAAGAGCACAGGGAATCTCAGCAAGAGGCTATGTGGAGGATGGTTCTAATTCCTAGCGGGAGGGATCCTGAAAAAGTACAGTTACTGTCTTCCAATCAAGGAATGCAAGAATAAGATTTTTCCTAACCCCAAGGAGAAAATCTATACGTGTCTGAGAGGTGGAGAACAGGCCTTGCTCTGGGTATGTTCTGTCACTATGCAATGATTGGAACCCCTTGGCTCTCTTCCCAGCTCCCACAATGCACTTGTACCCCTTTCCTTATGACCAGGGCTTTTCTCTTCATTTACTGCCCTTGGCATTACAAACAGCCTTCAGGCAGGGGCCTCTCCATCACTCCTTGTCATTGAGGTCATATATTAAGAGCAACTGCTCAGCTGCAGTGTCAGAGCCAAACTTGTTCCCTGCCCCAACACAATGTACAGATAGTCCATTTTGGCCAGATGCAAAATAAAATCTTTCTCACTCTATCTAACAGTTGTTCCTGTTATCACGGGACAATGTCTACTGAGGAGCATTTAAAGTGCTTTATAGATAAAATAAAGAGCTTGGTGCTCAGCTAAAGGATGAATTAAACATTTCTCTGTCATTACTGTGGTGCTCATACTTGTATCAGGAATAGTTAAAATGTATCTAGGCAATACACATTTCTAGATAAAAATAGGCGAGTTCCTCTTTATAAAACACATGTATATAATATACAGTTCTGAGGAATATGGAAAAAAATCCTGATACAACTGAAGTGTCTGAGCCGTAAGCAAACACACCCTAACTTACTGATTTGTTGTTCATGTCTACATGTTGGTCACACTAAGCAGGTAGACACTTAAGCCCATAATGTTGTAACTGCTCAAAGATGTTTCTGGAAGCCCCATTCTACAATCACCTTTCGGTCTGGGGCAGTTTTATTTTAACTTTCTCAAACTTCTTTCGAGAATGAATGTACTATGTAAAATAGTCATAAGATATCTGAGGTTGAGACTGATGAACAGAATTGGTGCTCTTGAGAAGGAATGTGAACAAAATCCTGAGATTTTTGAATCTTAACGAAATTTTAAGAATTAAAAACTTCCCTCAAATAAGAGCAAACAGCAACTCATGTTAAAGACCCAAACTTACATGGCTTTATAAATGGGGTATACTATAAAAACTCAGTGTACTATTTTATCATTACACAGCAAGCAATGGTGAAGGCATTTGTTTACCTGGGGCAGATTTGGTGGAGCATCTAGAGACCTCCCCACTCTAGTGTGCTGGCTTCCCAAGCAGTATGAAGTGATTGATGGCTGGGGTTTCTGCTAAAACTGTTCTGTGGGGTGGCTGGGTGTTTCTCTAGATTGCTTTTCCTGGTAGGAAAGCCCAAAACCTAGTTTCATGGCCTTTGTGGAAAGATGCTGTAAGCTAATTTAATCCCTCTAATAAATCTTCCTTCTGCTCCTACTAGCTGGGATCAATTTTGATGTCTGATTCTGACCTCAAGGAAGAACATTCTCAGAAAAATTCTGAGGACAAGAATATCACACCTTTTAGGCAATAGAGGACCAAGCCCCACAACTAAAAAACCCCCAAAACATTTGGCCTTTAAATTTACCTGGGATGGATCCTGCTATCTCCTCATCCATTTATGTCCCCCCAAAATCCCAAGATGTACCTGTCATCTTTATTTATCTGGTCTCCAAATCCCACGGTGTCAACGATGGTTAACTTCAGCCGTACATTGCTCTCCTGAAGCTCATAACTTCTGGCTTTTAACCGAACACCTGGTTCATTGTGAGTAGCTGGGTCACTTTCAAATTTGGTGTTGAACAAAGTGTCCATTAACGTGGATTTGCCAATGCCTGTCTCACCTATGTAACCACAAAAGAAAAATTAGAGAATGTGTCAATGTCTTTCAGACATGAGTTCAGTTCATCAGTATTTTTTTCATTAGTCATGATTATAAAGTTTAAAAAAGAAAAACTGTCACCAGAAATGCCACTGTGAAGAGATAATTCTTTCTATGTGTAATCTATGGAATACCTTTCTAAAAATGCCTCAATGAATTTCAGAAACTATTTAGCAGACAGGATTTCAAATTTACAGATCAAGAGATTCTTCTTTACCTCTGGATAGAAAAATTGTACTTGCAAGTTTGCCCATGCTCAGGTTGTATATTACAAGAACATGAACTTTACCTCTTTCTCTCCTAAATGTCAGAGTATAAAACTATATTACTTAAGGGATAAAAGACTATACTGTTGAATTTCTGTTACTTGAAACAAGTGATTCCATTTACACTGAATTACCTAAAAGATCAGTTAATTCAACACCAATATGATACTGTGTCATATGCTTTCCAACATAATACAAGAGTGAAGGAGGATGAAGTCTTTCTGGATTTGAACTTTCTCTGATTAGAAAAGCCTTATATGGCTTGCCTCTAACCATGATGATTCACTTATAGGGTAAAAGTTGGCCAAGTACATTCATCCTACTCTTTAACCTTTCCTGTTGTGTCCCTGAACATCTAAGATCATAGAATTTCCTCTTTAGTCAGGCTTCAGTCAGCCAGTATTTTTCCAGTACCTACTATGTACAAGTTCTGTGCCAAGTTCTGAGAATTCAAGAAACTAGCCTGATGGGGTGGTCTCCCACATCTTAGAATCTGGTCTAGAACATGACTGAATAATACCAGTCAGACTCTAATTTATTATTATGAGAACAACATTCTAAGTGTTTGTCACAACTGCTTTCCCCTTATAAGCAAGACCATCCTTTACACCCATGACCCTGCTAGTTGGCCACAGACAACTAGACCATGGCTAGGTCCTGACCTAAAGGCAACCACGGAAGCGCAATCATTTCACTATGAGCTGGGGCTCCACATTAGAGAGTGGCCTATCTAATCACAATTTTTCTCTTTGGGTGTTTGAATGAGATACATGCAATCTCCACACAGTGTGAAGGCATGAAAAAGAAATGATATACAAAGAGAGGTAAGTAAGCAGAAGCCATGAGGCAGCAAAGGCTGTAAGTAAATGGAAGCCATGCTGCAGACAGAATGTGTGCTGGGAATACAGGAAAGAGCAGATAGATGGCGTAGAGTACTGGAAATCCATCATGAAATTAATGCTTGGGTGCTCACTGTGTGACAAGCATAGGTGCAGGGATGAAGTAATGAACGAAAACAGACACTGACACCTGTTTGCACTTCTGTAACATCCTAAATGTCATTCCAGATCTCTATGGGGTCTGGTTGTGCAGCGGTTGAGACGGTTTCCTGTCTTCTTTACTTTCCTGAATAGTCTTACCAAAAAAAAAAAAAACCCTCCATAAAAGCAATATAAAACCAGTCTCTGCTCCCTAACCTGAAAGAGTTTAACAAGTTAATACTCACCATCCATGGCTTAACAAATTAGCTTTGAGCAAAACAAAGTACTGTGTAGTGGATACAGAAATAAAACAGGGTTCTCACTAGTAGTTGATACTGAAGGTACTTGAGTCATTTTAAGTACATGCTACAAGTGTAACATTCTCAAGCAGAGCCAACTTCTTTTCAGGATTTACCTATTTTTAGAACAAAAAAGGCACAAAAGCAGATCTGCCATATAAAAGTTTCCCCTTTATGGGAAAGGCTCTGTCAGTAGAAAGTGACCTACTTAACTTTCATCTTCTTTCCTAAGAATAGCAATAAAGACTTCAATTACACGGCAAGGACTCTAGGTTACCTGGACAAGATTGAAATTATCATCTTATTTTACTAGGTTGAAAATTACTTAAGCACCCATGTGAATCAGGAACACCATACTTTTTTTTTAAAGGCCTGGTAATTTTAATTATCATTTACATTAAGGTGGAAATTACAAACAATTAGCATACCAGGCCCTACTTATAGCACAGGGTTAATCAATGGGTTGAAAAAAACCACTGTTCCTCTAAACTTTGGTGTGCTTTGCTTTCCATTTCTATGCTCTGTGCTTTTAAGAGCTGTAATTAGACACGGCAACTCCAGCAGTAGTGTGATTCACCAAAAGCAGTTCAGCAGGAAATGACAGCTTTTGGAAGAAAAGGAACTCCAGAAGAACTAGGGAAGTTTTTCAATGCATTAGCTTATTTTCTTTAACAGACAGGGTCTCACTGTGTTCCCCATGTTAGTCTCAGACTCCTGGACTCAAGCATTTCTCCTGCCTTGGCCTCCTGAAGCACTGGGATTCGTTTTTGAGGCTTCTCTCTAATCTTTCTAAGCGGAATCTCATCTATACTTTTGAGGACCCATAAGACAAAAATTTCTTTCTAACTGAATAACTAAAAGCCTACCAGGCACAGGTTCCAATTCAAACCAAACAACCGTAACAATATTTTCAGAAAAATCAATGACTAACACTAAAGTATTTCAAAACTCCCTAGCAGACTGCCTGGCACAAAGGAGACATTTATTAAAAGTTAATTGCAGGCTGGGCACGGTGGCTCATGCCTGTAATCTCAACACTTTGGGAGACTGAGGCAGGTGGATCACCTGAGGTCAGGAGTTCGAGACCATCCTGGCCTACATGGTGAAACCCCATCTCTACTAAAAATACAAAAATTAGCCAGGTGTGCTGGTGGTCGCCTGTAATCCCAGCTACTCGGAAGGCTGAGGCAGGAGAATCCCTTGAATCTGAGAGGCGGAGGTTGCAGTCAGCAGAGATCACACCACTGCACTCCAGCCTGGGCGACAGAGTGAGAGACCCCATCTTAAAAAAAAAAAAAAAAGTTAATAGAAAACAAAAATGATCATGGTGGTGATTTATACAGAGATATGCCACTGTGGTAGATTTTTTCAGAGTCTGTTGTTTATTCTATCATAAATTCATCTGCCTAACCACTTTATTGTTACAGTAATTAGAGACCCTATTGAAGTGCTATCTGGGGCTTCTGTTTTTCCTGTTTCTGCCAATGCTAGGGGGAAGGCAGTCCTACCTTTTCCATTCTATTCTCAGGCTTATTTAACCCACGAGCTCTAAGGTGAACAAGGCAAGGGAAAAACAGAGGGATTGTATTATTAATTAGAAGATAACTGTAGATTGAACAAATTGTTGATCTGTGATTCAGCTCTTTTACTCTAATTGCCAAGACTGGCTACTTGGGTAAGTAACTGTGCATGGGGATCTGCCTGCCTTCCCTAAATATTCTAGATTTTACTCTTGGATGGAATCAGAGAGTCAGAAAGCTGCATACCTAAGTTGCGTTGTTCTTGTTCCTCATAGAATCACCTTTGATGAAACAATCTCTGGCATAAGATGAGCCAGCGTGTGGCACCTGGCATTTCATTAAACAACTGCACTGACTTAGAGGATGCCCAGGAACCCAGACCACTACATACACCAAATCTCTTTTCTGAAAATCCATCGAGAAATTTTTCCAGGTAAAGCTGTGTTTCATCCAGAGCAATCATTTTGTTTTTACTTTATAGATACTATAAATCTGTCGTATGTTACACTTTTTGCTTGTGTTTAGCATATAACACATGCTCATTAAATATCTGCTAAATGAATGAGTGAATTAATAGTTTTCTCCATGCTCTGACCACTAAGCTGAGAGAAAAATGTAAATGTAATACTTCATCAATTAATTGCTATAGGCAGGCCTGATGGCACACTTTGAGTTCTGATTCTATCCCTGGCTTCACCTTTATTTTCTAGGGTTAATTTTGTCTTTATTTATTTTACCCTATAAGCCATTTACATCCTTTCCTGGAAAACAAGATGGGATAAAAATGTTTAAGATTTGATTGTAAATTTCCACAATTTATGTTGACACTATACCTTGGCTAAGATGGCCTTACACTTCACTTACCTGTTTTCAATTCCTGTTCTCTCAGCCCCTCAAAACAATTAAGGTTGAATTGTGGAAACATTTTCTGTTTCAAAATGTATTACTAATTTACTTTGACTCTACTATCAAATTGGCTCTTCTTCAAAAGCAGAGATGTTACAGTATCTTATTCACCTTTGTATATTCACAAGAAACAGACAGCTGGATCAATGTTGATGAGGTTTTTTTCCTATAGTATCATTTTGGAAAATGGATGAGAAAGACATACAAATTTAAAATTATAGAAAAAGGCTAAATGCTAATTTAGATCTAATTTAGATTCTGTGGAGAATTACAGCATGGGTAAAACATGAAAGGCTTTATTTAAACTAAAATGTAGCTTCAGGAGTGATTTAGGTGTGTTGTGGCAAAACAGACAGTAGGGGAATGATGAACTCCTGGGTGTTCTGTTATCTCATTTAACATCAGAATTCTCTTCCCAGTGAAATGAAAACTATACTTCCTCTATTACGTGCCTTCCCAGGACCAACAGAGATGGGTTCTAGCAGCAGACGTTTAATTCAGTATCTCTGAAACTAGACTTAGTTCATGCCAGGACCATTTTCTGCTCTGGTTTATTTCCTGTGCATTCTTTCAAACTACAGGCTCATGCCACAAAACAAAATTACAATTCTGAGACCTTTTTGGTAAAAATTTTCCTTACTGGGATCATAACTTTATTTTTTTATCCTTAATTCCCTCCCATATTTATCACAAGTAAATTCACGCTATAAGTATCACATGTGAATACTGTGCAAAATAAACAAATGGGCAGTAAGAAGGAGTAAGTAAGGAGGAAAAATTACCATGGATGCTCTTAAGTTAAATATAACACCTACTCCTCTATGCGGCTGTCCAAATATTTTGATCTACTTTTTATAGACTCTTACTTTAAAAATAGATGGACCATTGATTGACAGTAAGTTTTTTCTTATAAAGATATTATGCCATAAAATATCTATGGCAAAGGGATTTGATATTCAACTTTCTGAGGATGATATTTAATGCTGACACTCTTATCTCCCAAAGAGCTCATGCTAGCCCCAAACAAGGGGCTCCAAAGGGTTATGGAAAACGACCTGGAGAGTTAGATATGCTGACAACGAAGGATATCCAGGACTTCTTGTGGACTGAAAAGAGGAAAATGCACAAGATGAACTGCATGATCTCATTTGTGTAAAAGCAAAACAAGAAAGCACCTACATAACTGTGAGAAAGCTGTTTTTATCTGTCCAGTATGTGTCTCTCCCAAGCCCTATCTCCTTTCTGATCCTGTCTTCTTGCCTATGGGGAACCTCGTATGTTTTGGAGTGAACTGACCCCATCTTCCCCGCAGGCCGAGCGTGTGACTGAGTCCTGGCCAATCAGTGAAATCCTGACTGTTCGGTGAGACGTGTCAGGAATGCCTTGTTCCTTCCCCTGAGGTTGCTAGGCTGGTGATGCTGCCAGAGCCAGGCTGCTGTCGTGAGGAAAATGCCTGAATGTGAAGCAAGCAGAAGCAAGCAGGATCAAGAACCAGAGAAAGAGGCCTGACAGGGCTCTTTGAACTCCTGGAGCCAGCTGCTCTTAATTACCCAATTCACCATATTACCTTTTCAGTGTGTGTTGGAGGGTGGGGGAGAGTCTTAACTGGATTTAAGCTGGATTTCTGCAATTCTCTGTGGAAAATTTTCTGACACAAAAATACTAGGAGAGCGATGCGATGTGACTGGCTTTGAGAATGGATGGAAGGAGCCAAGAGCCAAGGAATGCAGGCAGCTTCCAGAAGCTGGAGAAGGCATGCACTCTCCCTAAAGGTTCCAGGAAGGAATGCAGCCCTGCGGACCCATACTGGATTCCTACCTACAGAACTGTAAGCCACCAAAAGCAATTTCCTAACACAGAAAGATGTCAAAAGTTTCTAGAAGGATCCCACAGTGTTATCTCTGTGAAATGGAAATGGGAGTGGGAGATGAAAGGGAAGTATTTTATAACATTTTAAACAAAAAATATATACTATGTTCATTAGTTTGAAAAACTAATTTTAAACATGTTTAAGAACAGAACCTGACAAAAATCTAAGAATCACAGGTATTGTAACCCACCCAGGAGACTCCAAATAGGGCTGCTTTACACGTCTAACAGGGCAGCATCGATTTGGCCTCTGAGGAATTCAGCATCCGAATTGTCTTATTTAACACAAGGAGTCAGCCCCTGAGCCAACACACCCCACTGCACACCACATACCCAGTTAAACCAGGATCCCACCGGAAGGCTTTCCCCTACCATCCCCTGCAAGAGCCAGGACAGAACTCTCAGACAGGTTCTTAGAACTGATTTTGGAGACAGGGCTGGGGAGGCACTGAAGAGAAGCCAGAAGAGTAATTGGCCTGGGATTACAATTTAGCATACTTTTCAATAGAAAACCAACAAATCGCCAACAAATTGCTATGCTAATGAAGAATTGCCCTGCTCTGCAATAAGCATTTATCATGAGAGAAAGGACAACCCATTCATGCCACTCTGTAGAACTAGCTGCCATTCGGGAGGTCTCCTGCTGAATTTTAAAAGGCTTCATGTAGGGAAAAGGGGAAAGCATGAGATGAGAGTTGGCTGCTGTGGCCATGTTTCTCTCCAGTCCTTCTCTTATCCAGTGCTTAAGATAAAATGCCAGGGAGCAAGTTGGTCTAGCGTGCCCGCCAATTGTGACTTTCTACTAATGAATGCCCAGTGCAGAGGCTACATGCAGTCGAGTCATCAAGAGGTTCAAGAAGTTTTTAAAAAAGAAAAATATCTGCACTCCCCCCAACTTCCATAACTGACAAATAAGCAAATGATGGTTCTCACACTGAACACACACCTTTTCTAAATTCTCTTCGCTTTACTTGGACAAGAAAAGTAAGTCTGACACATTCTGCCAAGCTTAGGGAAAAGACAGTCCACTTGGCTACATACAGAATTCTTTGATCTGTCTCAAAGTGATGTCTCAGAGGGAAATGCCCAGAGGACAATGCCAACAGAACAATATGGACCAAACCACTTCACTGCTGTTTCACCTGCCATTCATCAGGCGTGATGGGGGAGAGAGCAATAGCCATTATCTGTTCCACGCACATTTCTCCTTCAAACTAATAGGAAATTTATATTTTGATTTTCTTTATCCCCCTTCTTTTCCACCTTCCTCTTCTTAGTCCAAAAAGGATAAGGCATACAAAAAATTAGCCGGGCATGATGGTGGGCACCTGTAATCCCAGCTACTCAGGAGGTTGAGGCAGGAGAATTGCTTGAACCCAGGAGGCAGAGGCTGCAGTGAGCCGAGATCGCCCCACGGCACTCCAGCCTGGGCAACAGGGCAAAAAAAAAAAAAAAAAAAAAAAGATATGGCTAGAGGAGTGAAGAAAAATACCAAGGCAGAGGCCTAGTCCAAAGTAAAATGTTTAAGAGATCTTAACGATATTGTAATGATCGGTTGCTTGACTGTGTGACAGAAATACTAATAGTAATCTGAGTAACATGACAAAACATACAATGCATTTACCTAAATACAGCTCTCAATCTTTATAACTTGTGACATGTATAAGGCAGATATTTTGCCTTGCTTTACTGATGAAAAAAAAGAGAATAAACATGTCATTCTTATTTCACTGAAGCATGTCTCTCCGACAGTCACCTGTCAATATCTAAGGATCAAACTTCTTGCTGTGTGGGTGATGAATAACTTACCAACACAAAGGATGTTGAAACAGAATCCTTGAGAAGTAGACTTGTTGACCAGCTGGTCAGGGAGGCTGTCAAATCCCACATGGCCAGACAAAGACAAGTTTCGAAGCTCTTCATTCTGGAATTTCAGGGGAGAAAGATTTGAATGTCCATGAACCATGCCACCTGGATATCACACATCACAAACATTACATTCTCTCCTCTTCTTCCTTTGACATACATGGAAATAGACCCCCACAGCCGCCTTGGCTTCTACACAGCTGAGGGCACTAACAACTCCAAAGCCATGCTCTTTCCACAAAATCACAGTTTCCCAAAGCAGACCATCTCCCTGGGTATCTCACTCCTTGTTACAAGTGTACTGGTCCAGGGAAATTTGAGCTTCTAGAGGTGACTATTTCAGATATGCATTAAGTGACCAAAAAAACACAAAAGCCTCCAGCCATTTTGATCACTTTCATTATCCAAGAAAAGCTTTCAATTTACTGTCAACTCACAGTGAAAACATATTTAACATTCTTCCAGATACCAAAGAATTTGAAAAGCTCATGGTGGAGGATACATACTCCTTACAATGATGACAATGCTCTACCCACCATAAATGCAACGTATTTAAAACTTCTCAGCACATGAGCTGGTTTCCTCTCCTCCATTAGTTTCACAGGTTTCTTGAGTTAGCAGAGATTCTGTAACTGCTGGACTTTTGCAGAGTTTACCAATGGAGACTGGGGTAAGGTAGTTATCATACATTTAAAAATCACACAGGATATAGCTGGAAGCTAAAATAAAATTGTTGGGTGATTTATGCTGTTATATCAAATGGTACTGGCTGCCCCCACAACTTTGAATGTGTCCCGTGGGTGCTAGAGATAATCTGTGAAACCCTTTTTTCGCAAGATGCAGAGATCAGCTACAGTCCCTCAGTTATAATATCATGGTTATGGTTTGCAATTTCAGAAATTAGATACTGAAAGTCTTCTCCTTGGAGACACGACTCCTGGTATTCTGGCTGTGTTATCAATGAACTTTATACTCAAAATACTGGAGTCCAGGTGAGAAAATGATCCTCAAAGCTCCATTTTTATTTTTATTATTTATTTGTTTTTGTATTTATTTATTTATTTATTTTGAGATGGAGTCTCACTCTGTCGCCAGGCTGGAGTGTAGTGGCACGATCTCAGTTCACTGCAACCTCTGCCTCCTAGGTTCAAGCAATTCTAGTGCCTCAGCCTCCCAAGTAGCTGGGATTACAGGCACGTACCACCATGCCCAGCTAATTTTTGTATTTTTAGTAGAGACGGGGTTTCATCATGTTGGCCAGGCTGGTATCAAACTCCTGACCTGGTGATCCGCCCGCCTTGGCCTCCCAAAGTGCTGGGATTACAGGCGTGAGCCACCACACTCAGCCATTTTTATTTTTTTAGAGACAGGGTTGCACTGTCACTCAGGCTGGAGTGCAGTGGCGTGATGATAGCTCACTGCAGCCTCAAACTCCTGGGCTCAAGTGATCCTCCAGCTTCAGCCTCCCAAGTAGCTATGACTACAGGCATGTGCCACCACTCCCAGCTTCAAAGTTCCATTTTATTTAAAAAAAAAAAAAGAAAAAAAAAAAGAAGAAAGCTTTGCACAGGATCACTTAGTCAATGTTTTCAAAGTACTGGTTTTCATCATCCTATTTTTATGTTACATAATCGTGAGGGTGAGGGTGATTTCTTTTAATAAGCAAGGACTAAGACCCCATTTCAAATGTTTGTGGTCACCATATAGGCACAGAAATGTGACTCCAGAAATGCAGTGATTTTAAAGGACTTCAATGGTTTTATTAATAATACAATGTCTAAAGTCCATATCAGCTCTAAAATTCTGATTCTGTGAAATAAGACTAAAAGCCACCACACTGCCTGAATACCATGGTGGCAGCTGCAGATTTGAGGTCAATGGGACAGACAACAGATGTCTAGTCTATGAATAGTTTCCTTGAAACCTGCCAACAGTGAATATGAGACTCAAGAGTAGGCACTTATCCTTGAACAGGATGGTATGGTAGGCAGCTCACCAAACAGCTTCGAAGGCAGGCCCCAGTGGGCAGCAGTCCTTGTAGCTGGGCCAGCCTTCCAACAATGCTGTACTTCTTCCAGCCCCAATCCTTGTACCTGCCCCTTCCTCTTTAGATACCTCAAAGGTTCAGACAGCAGGTATTTTTAGGGTGTTTACCACATCCGCCAAGACTTGGGGGAGGAGGAGGGTTTGAAATGAGTCCTGGGTTATTTTTAGAATGCTTTCCACCAAGCTGTGCGGTAGCTATTGTGTATCAGGCTAGGAGAAGCCATGGCACCAGCCTTCATTTCTGCTGCATCACTGACTTCAGCCATTCGTGAACGGTATGAAAGAGACAACGCAGGGCAGAACCATCATCCCACATTCCCTCTCTCCACCGCCACATAATTCTTTTAATTTCAGGGGGAGGGGAGAATGGTTTATTGCTCTGGATTCTGGATTGCTGGATTTTTAGATACCAGATATCCACCTATGAACCAATCCTGGGAAAGAATCAGAGTTAGTAATTATAGCTCTCATCCTAGAACCCAAAGCTCAGCATCTCATATTCTCACCGTTTCCAAAACACGAGAAGCCACCCACACACCCACTAAGTATTTTTATACCCATTGAAAACCACATACAAAATGAAGGGTTATAAAACAGTTTGGTCTTGACATTTTTGAAATTTGAAGTTGTATCTTTAGAGTCTGTCTTCTAACACTGTAATATAGAATATGTAAATTTTATAATACAGTTTTTACATTTCTTAATTTGAGCCTAATTCTCTGCCCAGTATTAAAGGAAACCTGAGAGTCAATGCCCATCAGTATGTGATGGGGGAAAGGGAAAAAGAGGTTCCTCCTCTGGTTTATGAATAGGCTTAAAAACTGGAGAGAATGGCACTGGAGGACTTGCACAGGGCAGCTCTGAGCACCTGACCCAGTGCCTCCAGCACAGCAGCTGAACCGGATCCCTCCAGTCCAGCATTTTATAGCTCTTCCCTTAGCTGCCACAAGCCAAGGGTTGTGGGGTCTTTTTTGAGTCTCCAGGCCCAGTTTCAGGGAACTGCATATATTCCATGTTGTTAACACTAATGCATCGGGAAATGACTCTGAATTTATCTCTAATATTGAACTCTGCTTGGCGTCCAGTTCTGAATTTCTATCAGAGGAACACTTCTCTTGGGTTGTCCCATCTGTACTTCAAACTTGATGTTTATGACACTGAAATCATATTCCTCTATCCCAAAGTCGCCCGTTCTCCAGAGTTCCCTATTGCTGTTAACAGTACTTAGCCATGCTTGAGACCACCTCCCCTCCCACCATCAACTCTGAAGTCTTATCAGTACTACATCCTCCACATTTCTATTCCTACTAATTCAACAGCCTCCCAACTAGCCTCCCTGACTTGATGTCACCCTCTCTAATACTTCCTCCCTCCACCTTGCCGTCAAGGGGATCTTGGTACTCAAGGTCCCAATCCAAACTCGTTGGCCTGTCATTTCAGGGCCCCACGGGCTAACCCCAAATCTCCATTCCTACTGAATCTCCCACTTCTCCCCAGGGAGCACCTTACACTGCAGTTAAATTAAATGGCCCCTGTTCTTGGGACAAACCCAGGTTTCTTCCCATCAGAATTTAGTCACATTATTTCCTCTATGTGAAAGGGCCTTACAGCCAGTGTTTACATATCCAAATCTTCCAGATCCCAATAAAATTCTACCTCCATCATTGTCCTTATTATGAAATCTTGGGAAAAAATTCACTAAACATTCTTCTGACCACTAAAAGGAAAATACTGATTGAAAAGCGGCTCAAGCTATTTGGAATTCCATCATGATAATAACAGCTAACATTTATTGACCATTTCCAATGCTCCAGAAAAGCCCTAACTTCTCTCTCTTAACAATTCTATAAATTAGTTACATTATTACCCAAACTCAATTTACAGATGAGAAAACAGAGGCACCATTTAGTAACTTGCCCAACGTTTCCCAACTAGTAAAGTCAAGGTGCTGAAATTGGAACCCAGGAAGTCAGGTTCCAGAGCTGCCGAACAGTCATTGTTATCTCATGATGATTTATTAAGTTCCCAGGTAGCCCCAGAGAGTACAGTGATTTCAGCTGTTATAAAAATCCAATATATTAAAATAGAAGGAAAAAAATACTCTCTGAAAACCATGATTCTTTGGCAACCATAAGAGATGGAAATTGAGAATTAAAACTGGCAAAGTAGCTCCAAGTATATTTTCACTGATCCTGGCAATGCCAAGACCAAACTTTGATTTTTGTAGTGATGGCATATGAAACCCATAATATAATGCTTAGTTTTAACCATTTCTGAAAAGATAGTGCCAACACAGAACCACTAAGTAAGTATAAGACTGAATTGATTTAGCCCTCCATTTGCTAATCTGCCTAGTGACGCTTTATAACTAGGTAATTTCTACAGCCCACTCCATCTTGAAATGGATTATGACCAACCTTTATGGTATAAAATAAACTTGTTTTTCACTTGACAATTTCACTTTTCTCTTTTCAGAACATATCCTCTTAGATACAATTATTTATTTGTTTATTCAAAAATACCCACTGCTGAAAGCACTAAGAAAGCTAAAATATGTTATTTTTATTATTCATTGATCAACACTGCAGTTCCGACCCTTAAGAGGTTTTACAATGTAATAGTAGAGCTAGGACAGATGTAAATGTAGGACTATGAAGGATAAAAGCCATCAATACCATGGCCTCAACTATGGGAAGGCATGGAGAAGAAGTAGTTTTTGGCTAGGGAAATTAAGGGGACACCTTTTAGGAAGGCTAAAGTTCCCCAAATCTATCAGTGAAACAAAAGCCCAGCTTGCAGAACCCTTCTGGATAAATGTTATCTATGCCCAAAAGGTCACTTTCTTATGAATGTATACCTGAAGTATATAATTGGTAGCTTTTCAGAAAATTCTCAGCTGACTTCATTATTGAGATAATTATAAAACAAATTATGTAAGAATGTGTGCCACCACCTACATTCTGAGCACTGCTGTAAAATATGTCCCACAATTCCAAATCTTGCTTCAAAAGA